TATTAAGGCTTAAAGTTATGCATAATTAAGGGCATGGCTGCTTTGAGTCACAGGTGGGTGCCATCACAGGGGCTGTTTTGAGTAACCAGGCTTCCTTCAGCCCACCTTGGCTCCACCCACACTTGGCATATTTGCCCATTTTTGGATTAGCCGAGAGCCGATGGAGTCAGGACTGCCAAGATGGCGATGGCCAAAGCCGACCACACACTGAGCTTCACAACAGCCCTTCAGAAACCTATGGGTCACAAAGACTACGTCCATTTTTAATTATACAGTCTATGGTTCTGCTGCCTTAATGCAGCTTCAATAGATCAATGATTTAATACAAAGGGTCTTATTTTTGTTGTTCCAGCCATCATTCCCATCATCCCCATCATCAGTCATAATAAGACTGAAGTTAATAGCTGAGATCTGTTAAAACAACAACATTGCTAAAAATTTGTTTTTTAAATGTCTCAGATTTTTCTGCAATAACCCTGTCAAAATTCCCCAAACAATACAATGCCATGTTTAGTGTTGACGAATGAAATGGTCCCTTTCTCGATGGCTTTACTTTTTAAGCCTTAGGGCTGAGGGCAAAGGAGAAATCTGAGAGCAGACGTTTCACAAGCGCACAGGAGCAGCCTGAGTGCGAGAAGGGCTAAGGCTGGAGCGCAAGAAATCTGTAAAGGAAGCAATGTAACTGACTGCAAGCATACAGCTTGACAAGAAGCAGAGCAAATGGAGGGCAAGCAGGGGATATTTGAGTGCAATGGCAGGGTTTTGAGGGAAAGCATTACAAAATCTAAATGTAAAAACAAGCCCCATAGTTTACAATCTGATTGTCTTACTGGACTTACTGTTCCCCGGTCTCTACTTTATTGCATTCAGTGTTGTCGTAACCAAAACAATATAAAAATAAAACATGAATTGTAATAAACCAAAATTGGGCTGTGTTTCTATCAATGGAAATTAGTTTTTTTTTTTTTTTTCTTAAATATAATTGATTATTTTTATTATCTATGATTATTTTATGTCTACACCCACAACATTAAATCCAGCTTCTGTGAAGACATGTTGGCATGCACAGACCACAGTGGAGAATGAAAGTGATAACTGCAGTGTTTGTCAGTCTGAGCCTTCAGCAGTGGTCTTCCACACAGAGCCTTTTCCCTGTGAACCTGGGAGGAGAGCTCTACAGGCTGCCTGTCAGCTGTCCCATGGTGCTTGGAGAGGGCTCATGGTCTTTTTAATTCCCAGCCAATCTTCTGTCCATCACACCACTTTATCCCTACTTTAGAGCTCAGCTCAGGTCCACACACTGTCACTTTCTGACATATCTCGCAGCCTACACCTCGACAATACCAGAAAATATTGTCAGCTTCTCCCCACCCCCAACTCACTTTCAATATGAACAACAAATCATATTTTCAAACTGGATGTAGGTACAGAGCCTCCCTGCCTACCTCCCCCCACCAAACTACTCCATATTTGACTTCCCTCAGCAGCGTGTGCGTGTGTGTGTACGTGTGTGTGTGATTGGGATGAAACCATGTGTACAATAAAATAAGAGCTCAGGGTTTAGCTCATGGCAGATCACTCTGTGCTTATCAGGTGACCCAAGCAGTTTCTTTGGATTGTCCCACATGAGGCGTCGCGTGTTGATAATAATGAGCGGAGGTGGATTCAAAGCAGCACAACATGCACAGCGCAGCAAAGGTAAAGACGCCACTCCTCGAACGCTGCCATTCTCAGGAGATTTCCATGAATAAAGGATTAGCTACACGCTGTGAGTCAAGCTCTGGTTCTTCCAGTTGCTTTACATATTTAAGGCCGAATTTTGCACTAGCAGAACAGGCAGCTTAAAGTCAAAGGAGATTGAGCAGCAGTTTTGGAAAGTGGGAATGAGTCTTGGATGAGTATATTGACGCAAGTTCCTGAAATTATCAACACATGTTAGACAGGGTAGGCTAAATATACATATCACAGTGCTAAAATGTACTTTGTTTGCGCATTACAGGGTTTATTTTTGAATTTCTTACAGAGAATGTTTAGTTGTAGTCTTAAAGCCAAAGATATTCCGACATGTTTGACACATTTACAGTAAACCAATTTCTTTATAACACAGAGATTACGAGCTGAGATCAGAAAACTTCCGGTGAGCTCTGAGTAAAATTCGCTGCTGATTTTATCTTCCAGAGATAAACTGACTAATCCATCATACATTTAATTGCCTCAGCCAGGATCTTCGCTACTGATATCAACTTTATGAGTGTATGTACATGACTTTGATTAAATATTGTGCCTCTCAAAAATACGAGGTGAGACTGAACCTCAGACAGACAGTCTTTTAAAATATCTGTGTTCTTGAAAGGTTTGGCAGCTGACACAACACTGGCTTTATGAGCACAGTACAGTACGTGACTACTTCTGCATGCAGACCATGCAGACAAGTACAACACAAACAGTATGATTTTATTCTTAACAAGTTGCTTTGATCATTCAGCAGGTAAATATTATGTAAACCATATTTTTATATTTAGTTTCAGCAGTTCCGCCATAAGTATGATTGTTTTTAGTTTGACTGTGTCTGGTGTATAAAATCTGTGCAGTCTCACCTTCCAGTGGAGAGAAACTGTTACTTAGGGTACTAGTCAGAAGTCCATTATAAAACTCTTTTGTTAATTTCTCCTTGATGCTGAGGGAATACTTTCACTGCTGCAACCTGTTTTAGTCCCACAGGATAAGGATTCCTCAGTATACTTACTCAGTCCATTGGCTGCGATTCTCCACTGCACTCTGTAGTACAGCAGAAATCTCCAGAGACCAAGATGTCCTACCTCCCAGTAAGGTGTATGAATCACACAAGCTAAAACAAAAATATTTTCAATGTGAAAATTTTATTGAGTCTTCTTGTCATCTCACAGAGATATCTCATTTTCTTAATACAATGGTATTACATTACTAAAGTAACAAATTACAGATTCAGTTGAAGAAGCATCATTTAATCAGAAATGAAAGGGGGAAAAAATCATAGATACAAATTTGAGACATCATAATGAGATATTCTGGCAAAAATAAATACAAACTAAATAAAATGAATAAAAGCAATGGAACGGCAAAAAATAAACCATTCGAAAACAACAAGGTTTTGGAGATTTCATGAAGCATTTTCTAGTTATTAACAGTAAAACAGTAAATATATATATCAAAGAACTGGGCAATGTAATGTCACGAAAATAAAGAATAACCCTCACAAATAAACATGAGGGACAAACTATTCTACACTGTTAAGCAGTCATTTCAACACCTGTGTCTCCTCTTTAGGACAAAATATACATGTTACTTTTCAGCAAAACACACACACACACACATTAATAAATGACAGATGTTGGGTTAACATTTTCCATGATCAACATACTGTGCGTTAAATATTAACAGCAAAGACTGTCACCCAGATGTGTTGAAAATGGAAACCCTGTGAGTGTCTGTACAACAGCGATGCTCAACTAAAGGCCATGGGGCCAAATCTGGCCCACAATAGCGTGCTGGGTGGCCCTCTGACCATTTTATAATTCATAACAAATATGAATTGATTCATGTGGGACATTTTTTAATTCAAATTAGTATATGTTTAATATTGTCCCTTGGCTGTTACTTGGGAAGTTGCATATTAGCCTATCAGCGATCTGTGGAGTACACAGAAGCGGTGACGATGCTGCAACTGGATTTGCCTCCTGAGGCAATAAGTAAAGGCAGCAAACGTAGGAACGAAAGGTTGACAATGAAAACAGGCAATTCAATGAAAAATGGGGGGATGAATTTGCCTGTATTTTGCCATCTCATACAAATCCCAATAAGCTGTACTTAATTTGTAGGGCTGTCCCATAATAGTCGACTTAACTGTAAGGTTGGTCTTAGTCAACCCAATTTTCATTAATCGGATAGTCACAGAAATGTCACCAGAAGGAAAGTATCAGGATATTGTTGCAACACGGATCCTTTCTTTTGTAACACAGCGCTTCTGAAGGACTGTTCACGAGCATTTCTTTTTGTGAAGCTGTAAGTTTTTGAACAACGTGACTCGTGTGATGTTATACTGTACTAAATGTCTCCTTGCTGGTTGTTCCGACACATTCAGAGTCATTACCCCTTTTTCTGTTAGCATTTAACAGGCAGCTGTTAAAATAGATATATTTTAAATTAAGTTAATATCATAAATGTTCAACAACTAGTCAGCTAATGGCTTGAACTTACAACTAGTTGACAAAAAAACTCTTAAGTCGGGGACAGCCCTATTCATTTACCAAATAACAATTGCTGTGTGCGAGGTTGCTAATATCCGAGTCAAAACGTGCTAGTTTCAGTGCAGCGTGGGAATCACGACTTTAAAGTTGCCTTATTCTGCCTGCATCAACAATCTCAATGTTTATTCATGTTATCTAATACATATGATTAATAATGTTTATTAACTGGCCTCTGGCGGACCCCAAAAAAAAAAAGAGTATACATAATATAAAAAAAAAAAAAAAGGGGGAAAAAAAAATAAAAAAAAAAATAAAAAATAAAAAAAAAAAAAAACATCTTTTTTTTTTTTGGCACTTTCATCACTTTTGTGAACTTTCTCTCTTTTTTACCTTCACTCAATCAGTACAAATTACGTTCATCTACAACTATTTAGCATCAGGTAAACACGCCTTGGAATAAATGTGATAATGTAGTAATTCAGATTATGTTTTCTTTGTTATATCGACAAGCTAAATGTAAATTATCTGCAAAATATTCAGTGGTATAATGCAGTTCCACTTCTGTATTTACTTGGTTATGGTTGGTGCTAGTGTTAGCATGTTATGATAAGCACACAAGATGCACAAAATAATTCTGAAAGAAATGATAAGAAAAGAGATTGAGGAGAGCTTTTTCTTTTTTTATTTTTTTTTTTTTTTGGGTTTGGGTTAGTTTTTTTTTTTTTTTTTTTTTTTTTTTTTTTTTTTTCTTTCCCCCCTTTTTTTTTTTTTTTTTTTCCACACACAAAATGACATAAAATACAATTTTTACAAATAAAGTCAATAACATTCTACATTCTGTTTGATAAGCCTGCCCTTTTGCAAAATAATTACAATCTGTGTTTTATAGACAGGTTGACAGCAACTTTGAAGAATATAAACTTGATAAGGCAAAGCAGCTTTGTTACACACCTGTGAAGAATTCATCTTAACATCTGTCCCCAATATACAACCCATTCCTTGATACATGTTTAAAAAGCATCATACTGTAAGATTAGCCGCAGTGTTTCCTTGCATAACATCAACACAGAAAACCATTACAGCTGTTCTAACTGTGGATGAAAAAAGGCTGGTGTTAAAGTGTTAATCCTGAAGGTTGGCTGACACCTGTGGCGAGTGGTAGTCACATCAGGTTACACATGTAACCTAAATTGTTTCATCCAACATGAAAAATGCAGCGTGGTCTTTGGAGGCAACAGCATGACAGATATTCATTTGAAGAATCTGTAGAGCTATAATCCCAAATAAACAAACACGGACTCCTAACAGATATTTAACCAATATGGAGTATATTAGGAGAGATAACCCAAGGGTAGAAATTATGACCTGATGACTGTCTTTTAAAGAAGGAATGTCAGAAATTGCCACAGCTTGGGCTACATTACATTACATTATGGTGTAATGTAATTTCGTGCATATTTAGAGAGGACAAGCTGAGCTTCTCCTTAGCAATCAGCCTTTTCCACAGCAGACATTTTGACAAGAAAGTACAAGTGTTATGTATAACATTGACAATGGCTCTGTTCTGTTTAGGTGTGTAAGCAAACAGCGCTATTGAGCCAGCATGCACAACACTGGGGCTGAAACTGGAACAACTACAGTAGATGAAATCCAGTCATGACATCATAACATGTTTTAACATTTTGGAACAAGTTGCACGATGTTTCTGAATAAGTAAATAAGTAATAGTAATAAGTAAGACTACAGAAAGTAGAAGTTGAGATTTAATTACAAAATATTTGTTTGGCGGATCTAAAGGGGAACTCCACAGATTTTAAACATCATAGTGTGTTGTCTTGGGGAGTATTTCTGCACATGTGAAAAAAGTTGTATAGAGCCTTTATAAAACTTTTAAAATGATGATAAATTGCTTCAAGTGATGTCACTTGAGTCAGCATTGGTTGGGGCTGAAGACTACAAGTTTGAAAATGAAATAAAATGTGGGGTTGTAGAGAAAGAAGAGAATTTACCAGACCTTTGTAGCCTCCTCCTTGATCTCTGCTCAAGGCTATCTGCTTGAGGCTATGATAGCTGCTACTAGCATAAATAACATAACACACAATATCTGTCTGAAGTGTCTGGTTCTGCTGCAATCATTTTTTTTTAATCCCTTTTTTAAACTGTCTATCATGACTAAATGTTACAGGAGTACAATGCTGAATCAGTGGTGCACTTTTTTAAGGCAAACTGCTGGTTTGTTTGGGCATTACACTAAGAAGCTGAGCTAATAGTTAATTGTGAAACAAACTAAACAAACTCTCATGTGGTTGTGCATCAGGCACTACATATATAAATACATACACAGTTACAATTTACAGAAATAATTAAGAGAATACAAGTGTGTACACCCACTATTGGGTAGGAACCGAAGGATGAACCATTGTTTGTTGTTAGTCAGATAGCCAAAGCCTCTTCTTACCAACATGCACAAAACATTAGGTGCATGTATTATTTCCAGTGGATACTTTTTGGGAAATAAGCTTATTTGTTTTATTGTAGAGATTTAGATGATAATATCAACACTAATGTCAAATATATGCAGTAACTATGGAGCTAGAGCTGGGAGTTGATGTGGATTGAATTTGTTTTCACATAAAGGATTAACACTTTCCATCCAAATGATGAGAACAAAGTAAATAGATATTATTTCATATGCCATGTGTGTAGTACGTGAAGCAAGAGAAACGTGTACCTTTTGGTCTGTAACATTCATAGAGGTCACAGCAAGCCAAGAAATAACTTGGAAGTTGAGGCAAAATAGGTTTTAAACAGACAGTGGAATGGGGAAACTGGGACATGAACCTTTGCTCAGGCTCATTTTAAAATGACAGATAAGGAATTCATCTTTCCGTGTTTATCAAACGCATGCATCCTGGACGATTGCAGTGGTCCTGAAAATGAGCAGATGAAAATGGTTTCTAACTTTGCTGTTGCCTATGAGTAACAGTCCAGCCACAGATTTGTGGGTATTTGACAACCTGTCAGAACGCTGCCATCATCCAGTTGTGGTTTGCAAACCAGTGGTTGAGAAAAAACTCTTAGTTGGCTGAAAATCTGACACGTAGAAGAGAATCATAAACTATATTCATTCTAATGTCCAGAGCTAAAGATGAAGGCAACTGAAGCTACAAAATGAACATAGAAAATACAAAAAACAGAAACCACAAATCTTCACTGGAGCTGGAGTCACACAACCGTTTGAGTTAAGACCTAGGAAGAAAAGAAAAAATGGTATATGAACCATAGAAAGCATATTTTCCTTTTGAGAGAACATTAATAAAGTAGCATAGAGACAGCCCATACCACTGCAAAGGTTGCATTACAATTTTAATTGGTCATTTTAAAAATACAAAAAGTACATAAAAGTATGACAGTAAGATAGGTTAATATGCAGATTAACTCATATTTGGGCTTTCTACAGGGACACATACAAGTCAGACTTAATGCTACAGAGGTAAGGTAATTTAAATATATCAAATTGCTTTAATGCTACCCACAACCCAAATGCCACCAAAATCATCACTCGGAGTTCATGTGTATTATCCAAATTTGGTTGCAGTCTCACTTTTTAGAGTTAAGGCAACTGACGTCAAGAAAGAGAGAGATGAAATTTGTATTAGTAGTGGTGAAAAACAAATAGCAAAACATTTAAATGTAAATCCACATGAGGTACCCTTTAGCGTCTGTATGAAACACCAGGCTTCAGTGTAAACTATAGACTGAATAATAAACAGTGGAAATCTGTAAAACAAAAACATTTGTCAGAAGCCGGAACTTCCTACTTGACACAATAAAAAGCACATTCACCCACCAAGGTTCATGTCCCATGTGAAACCAAAAGTAAATGTTGAGTTTTTTTAAGTTTTTTATTTAGGCTACATTAGGTTACGTTAAGTCTGTCACATGACTTGCAGCAGAGTAGTTTTGGTGCCTAAACCTAACCAAAATGTTAAAAACGTCTTTCTGGCAGACAGGATTTGTGGTAGCCTTGTCTGTTTGATACAGTCGCTAAAGGGTGCCATGTGCGTCTGTATGAGACGCTGAGGGGGCGTTGGTATTCGACGACCCTAATGAGAACAAAAGGTTGGAAATGGACGACATATTTGGATAAATTAGTTAAAACCAGGACACTCAAGAAAACAGTTTTGCTGATATCCTCACATTTCAGGAGTTATTAGTGAACATGTATTGTTTTGTAAATGGCCACATGGTGGCACTATCAAAATGTTCCATCTAGGCCCATTACAGAACCTTTTACCAAAGGTTACTGAAATCTGTTGCCAACACACAGCCACACAAAGAGGACTGAAAACACAACCTTGTGGACGGAGATGACTTTGTATACTCTGTGTCTCTTTTGCCTAGTCATGTGGTGCAGTCTTATTGCAATTTCTCTGTGTATTCTGAAGGCCTTGTTCAAGCTACGGTAAAGCTGATAAACAGTATCAGTCACACAGGGGATTAGTTACACAGAGTGCACCCGTCCCACTGCTTCCTTGCTTAATTCCAACTCCAATCATTTGCATGCTGCAGAGTATTTGAAACTTACTGGACATCTTTGGTATGCGGATGGGGCCACTGCTGGTGCCATCGCCCCCTTCGGTCAGAGCTTTAATCTCAATGAGGTAGTCCTCTCCAGAGGGGATTTGCAGCTCCACACTTGTCTTATTGGTTTCCAGTACAGTAGTCTTGCCGTTCCAGTTCTGACGATACACAACCTGGGAGGAGAGTGTGAATTCCTGGGGTGAACATTTCATTCTTCAGCCAAGACAGACAAAAATGAAACATTTATGACCTCTTAGAAATGGGATGTATGACTTCATTTGACATGTTAAATTAGAGTGTGAAAAACAAATCAGGCTAGAGAAGTGTGTGCAGCCTGATTTTGGTTATACAGCCCTTCTCTAGAGGAGGTAATGAATTCAAAATGCCTTATGCTGTGCTGGCTTGGCCCGATGACTCAATGTGGAGGAATACAGGCTTTTCAAAACAGGACCTCAGATGTCCTTTTTACACATTTAGTCATGTAATTTCATCTCCATCAGAATGCAGCATGATGTTTTATTTCATAGCTCAAAAGAAACATGCAGCACAGAGAGCCAAACTGTCAATTTAGCTTTAAAATCATGAAAAATATGTCAAAAGAATTCCCTTTTAATTCACTGTATTGCCTTTTGCCAAATTATTAAACCACTCCTGTCTACATGCACAGCATGCCGCCTTACAACAGAGCTTCACAAAAGACTTATCATTAAATGAGCAGGGCTGCATATCTCTGGAGAATAAATAAATATATATATATTTGTGGAAAGCATTATCAAAAACTGTTTTTCCACACAGGTAGGCAAAGTGGATCAAATATGATTCATTATTGTAAAGAGGAAGAAACTGAATTCAGTCTGTGGCATGACGCCTTTCATTTTATCACCTAGAACAGATCTTTTAATTTTGAAAGGCCAGACAGGGCCAATCCATAATGTAACACTGGAGTGCTGAGGTCTATCTTTCCACTGCAATGAGAAAGCCATTTATTGGGATGACAGCTGGTGAGGCTCTATTTGTTTCCCCAGTTCTGGAGTTTCTGCTATTACTCTGACAAACTCACCTTGTATCCTGTCACCTCAGACTCATTTTCCATCGCCTTGACATGTTCCCAATTTAGAAAGATCTTAGAGTTGGTCAGGTTCCACTCAATATTTCCCGGAGGCTGACTTGGAGCTGCAAGATATGTAATTATATAGACACAAAGTTCGCAAATGAATGCGTACACCACTGTCATCAATAGTATTCTCCAAACTAACTCCTCAGTCTGCCTTTATTTAATAGTCTGGTGTTGCAGCAGAATGCATTTCATGCTCTTCAACCTTCTGGAAGACACTGGAGAAAAATGGAGGTCAGGAAAAAAGAAGAAACTGCACACTCTTTGATTACCCTTTCATTTATGTGTGTGTGAAAACAGCTTATGAGAATGAAATGAAAAGTTCACCCTGAAGCAGCACAAAAGTGTTTACTGCAGCATATTTCAGTAGCTGGAAGTGGTTCTGACTTACTGTAAGTGGTACAGCTGAAACAACTTAGAATATAACATGAAACTAGAACTTAGCTGAAGTTGACAGAGGAATTTGCATGCTTGCTGAAGAGCAGTCTGACCAGGGGGAGTATAACAAATGAGTGAATAAATTGAATGAATGGAAATGAATAACGATAAAAATAAATATATGAGTGCTGTACTGAAGGCAGGCTTCATTTATAATTGCACTGAACACAATACAACTACTATGAGTAATGATAACAATAATAATATAATAATAATAACGATTTTAAAAACTGATTTGATGATTTTCTGATTTTCTCTTACCAAGCCCCTCTTCTTTGGAATTGTCTTCCTACCTAAATTCGCAACCCGGTCTAATCTAGTCTAGTTTCATTTCTGGGCGCGCTTGTGTCAAGGTCTGGTGATGTGGTGAAAAGAGCAAGAAAGTCCATATATAAAGGTGGTGGGATGGATTAATTAATTAATGGCATTAATCGCTGTTTGTGGCCCGTGTGAAACCAAACATACATTTTTGTATATTTTGCTAATGCTGCTCTTCATTGACTATGCTTTGTATTTAGTTTATCTCACATTTGTTTGTGTGTTTTGTTAATGTTGCTCATTGCTGTTTTTATGATACAGCCATTTGAGGCATGCTTTAGGATATAGGGCTATAATAAACTCCAACTTGGCTTGAATGCATATTTCTTTAGGGCTAATTTCACATTTTTTTAAATTTGAAAAAAAGTCAGGTGCCCATATGAATATTGAAACAGGATGTTTGTTTGTTTGTTTGTTTGTTTTCGTGTAATAAGTCCTCCTGTAAGAGATTCCTTCCAATTGCACTTTCAATAGAAGTGATGGGAGACTGAATTGAATTGTGAATCATTTAATGATCTGGCTCTTTACACATTTTTCTCTTTTGCTTTCACACAACTATCACATTAGGATCATGTTTTGCAAAACATTTAGCACAAGCATAGAAAGTGACTGCAGATTGTAGGTGAGAATCTTGTGCTTACATATTCTCATATTTTCAATCGTATTCCTAATGAACAGAAATATATTTCTCTGGTGTCGATTCATTCACTGTGTTAAGACAATGTTTGACTCTATAATCAGCATGAAGTCACCTGTAGCCTTGTCTTTGCTGAAACAAAAAACTGATGCAAAGAGAGTAGGAAAAGCAGTCAGAAGATTCAGATCTAAAAGAAGGGGAAGTGTCAGTTGGTGTTCAGCAACGAAAGCAGTTGAAGTGTCGTTTAAAGAGATGAAAGCGATCAAAATGTTGGTTGAATTGTAAATGATAAGAGCAAAATAAATTTCAGTTTCAGAGTTTGATGGCCAAAGTAGATGAAGTGTGGACATTTGAAGAGTCAGAGTCATGTGAGCAATTAAAATGTCAGTTAAAAGAATTGTGTTTCACAGGCTGAAAGAGGTTTGTATAAGTCTATCTTAAAACAATACTCATATGTTACATGTACATTGGAAAAGTCACTGGATGCTCTCCATGCTGCCAGTGAAGCAATCCTTTCCTACAGCTACAACCTACAGACACGTACCAGGTGAATGCAGTAAACTTATAGTTGTGCAGGTTTATTGTCAGCAACAAACCTTCATCTGACTACCAGGACATCCAATGCAACTTAATAAGTCAAAATTACAAAGATGTCATTTTGGACTAAAAACACTGTAACATTGGAAGATGTGCACTTGCTTTTGCTGGCTGAAGAATGCATTTTTCCCTGCCGTCTGTTACATTGGAGTCACATCAGGAAGGGATTGCTTCACACAGGCCAGGATTTTAGAAATGCTTAGTTTAAATTCTTCCAGCAGAACCCCAACCACCTAAAAAACGTACTACCTACCAACCAAACTTTGTAAAATGTCTCACATTCTATCATTCATGTAATTATTGAAAATATATTTGATGTTAATTTTTTCTATATATATTTTTTAAAGCCTTTTCTACACAGGTATTTAGGTCTCATAAAGAATATTACATTTATTTCACTTTATTTTTTATCTTTTTTGTTTGACTGTCAAATTTAAGATTTTTAGTCTAAAATATAGGAAAAGAAAATCTTTCACTCTCAATATTAGAATCAGCCTTAAAAACATCCATAATATGTATGTAAGTGTAGAATATAAACTCCACCTCATTAAATGTGACTAAACCCCCTAAATCCCAGAACAGAGGACATGACCTCAATGGTATCTCCTGGCTTCATGGCCAGACAGGAGAAATGACCAATAACTCTTTAAAGGGCTAAGCAAACAGAGAAACAAAGCACACCCTTATCTCCAGTGTGTGTGGACTCACGTGGTTTCTTGGTGGTGATGTTAAAAGGGGGGCTGCAGGGTCCAAGTCCAGCACTGTTTTGGGCTCTGACTGATATCAGATAGACTGTGCTGCCCTTCAAGCCAGAGAGCAGAGCTGTGTTGTTGATAATCCTCACTCTCTCCGCCTCACTCTGCCGAGATCCTTTCTCCCAGAAGAGCACCTGGGACCAAAGACACAAGGGTTACCACAGACCTCCAGCCATATTGGAGACAATTTGTCTTTTTCTATTTTTAAACTGGTTTAAGTGCAGGTGGCGGCAACTGAGCCGAGTAAAACCTTTTTTTAAAAATCAGATTTCCTACTAGGGGTGTAAGATAATATCAATAGACTTGAGTATTATGATATTTTGTTTTCTGATACTGTATGGATTGACAGAAACACTGTATCAAACCCCTAACCACTTGTAAATGTAACCTGAGGGCTTTGATGTTGGGTGTATAAATTTAAATGCATATCCCCACTGTTCTGATTAAATTAAAAAAGTCAACTTAATTGCCTTGCTTGCAGTATCGCAATATATCGCAATATACTGAATCGCAACCCCTTGTATCGTCAGATTTCATCAGAAATCAGAACATGAAGTCCTAGGGCACACACGGAGATTTAAGGAACATTAAGGATTCATTAAGTTGTAAATGTGGGTTCATCTAGGTTTAAGTCCTTAATATGCTGAAGCAGTGATTCTGTAGCTTGTACTTAAAAGGAGAAGGGGAAAAAATAGTTCCATACTATCAGCTCAGATACTGTAGGTCCTGAGGCAGTCCAACACACATTTTCAAACTACCAAGTGATACTGTATCTGACAATCAGCAATACCAAAAGCAGCACTGGGGAGTGAGGAGTACAAGGATAAGGAGCTTGTTAGAATCTGTATTCATAGGGAGATCATTTATGACCCTAACACGAGACAGGAAAACCAGACAGGAAAATGTCAAACAGATGGTTTGAGAGTAGGTACTTATTCAATTGGCTGCACACGGGTTTTCGGGGATCTTGCTTGGGAAAGGCAGATTAGTGACAGGGCCTGAAGTTGCTGATAACAGATGCATCTAGGGTGGTTTTCTTTTTTCACCAGTGGTTTAATTATAGCAGTTTTACCAGCACTTGGGAAACTATTTAAAATACCTAAGCAGAAGAAGAAGTTTCCAGTTTTAAAACCACTTCTGCTCTTAAAGTGCCACCACTGTTTTAACTATACCAATGTTTGTGTGTAAATCACAAGTATTTAAATATCGTAGCAAGTTTAAGTTTCTGTATTGAAACTAGTGGGAAGTATCAGAGGTGTATCCCCCTTCCCTAAACAGGAATTGTCCAATAATAGCTTAGCAACTGTAACTAAGGCTTGTCAATTTTTCTATTTCTTCACACACAGAAGCAGTGTGCATGGAGCTGTGATCAGAGGGATACTCTGCATTTAAAGAGTTTGGAGGCTTGTGTCCTTTTCACCACCTTTTCAAACCCCCAAAATACAGCCGAAGTGTAAGGAATGGATTAAGCTGTGTATTAATCTGTGCTAACAACAGCTGTTGATGAAAAGGTTACTGCTGGTTCTGATAGAGAGGGATAAAATGGCTGATCGTAGTATATATGCATATTTATATATATTTCATATGAATCAGCCGGATACATTAAAATATATGCCTATATGAGATGGGGTTAGGGTAAATACACACCCTCGACCCCTAGTGGCCCCTATGTCCCAGGCATTGTCAATTAGTTTTTGATAATTTCAAGATTGGTAGAAAATGTTTACACTATAGTCCAATATCTTCTGTCTAACTATGGTTGGTCCTGCATTATTAATCTTGTGGCCCTGGTCCTTGCAGTGGGGCCCTATGTCAAAAGTTAGTTTTAATATCTTTGTTATTTTAGTTTATACTGTGCTCACATTGGGAAAATAATTAAGCTGTCGTGTGTAGTGCTGCTGTGTATTATGGACTTGATGGATTTGAATTAGGCAAGAGATCAGGATACTTTTTCCCTGGGGCCCTAACAGGTTAATCCTGCCATGAGTCTTTTATAGCTGTGTATAGTTTTGATGGTGATGCATGCAGCTTCAAAAGTTTGCAGTTCAAAGTGTTGAGACGTGGAGGTGAAGATTGCTTTAGCATTTGATAGTTTCTCAGTCTGTTAACACTTGGAGCTCCCTTTAGGTCTTGTGCATTCAGACAGTGAAGGTGTATTCAAGTGCTCCTGCTATTTTTGTTCATGTGGGTGAAGCAGTGCTACAAACCAAAAGGTTGGGTGAAGTGGGAAAAAATTGAAGGGTGTGGTGATGAGTCATTATCCTCTCAGCCCGTCACATTACTTCTCTCATACCTTTCAAACAGCCCTTCCAATCAAAATGGCATATGGCAAAAATGTCACTGAGGAGAGACGGTGACTTCAAGAAGAAAATAGTTTCTTTGCTTTGATGGTAGTTAGGTAAGATGTGACTGGATGGCACCTCAAATCTGCAGACAAATGTTGATGGTGTGGGTTGTTTTTTACTACTTAAATTACTTTTCCTCACCTGCTGGTTTATATGTATCAGTTTCTATAAAGGGACCTGTGGACACAACCTACTTGTTTTCAGAAACAGAGTCCAAGCTGACTTGAACATGTATTTGTCATCTTCTAACACATCAAGCAGACATGTTAGAGGACACTTCACTGAAATCAAAGGCACTGCTGGCGATTTCTAAATGATATTCTTTGACCACCATGCATGGAAAGCCCTTTGGGGCCAATCTACCCTGCTGGGACAGATTGGCGGAGGCATACAAGAGCCTTCTAGGCTCTATGCTCCACAGTTGGCTCCTCAGCTGCTGGGGGGGTGGGCTGCGATGCAGGATTTCAGCAGTTCAGATTGTAGTACTGTTTCTACTATCAACCTGATTCTATGAAAAGTCTTCTTTTATGATTTGGTGCCATACAAATACAATTTAATTGAATTGAATGTGAAAAAGAACAAAGGGGATATCCATCAAAAAATGCACCCACACAATGAAACATATTGTCCTTTCTCCAGTGGCTTCAGTCCTGCATGAAAACATACTCAGAGGGCGTCCTAGAGGCTATGTTTCAAGTCACTTCAGTCACTGTTTGTGTAAACATCACAGGAATCAGTAGTGTTGGTGCTGACAGATTCTCCAGAAACAAATCATTTGCAACTGGTTTTAAATGGGACCGACTTCTTGATTCCAATCACTAAAGGCCTGTGATAGAATACATTTTGGCAAAGCACTGTGCTCTGGCACAGTGTGTGAATAGAACGTTATGAATGGGCTATGCTCGAGTTTCACTGTTTCCCTCCCTCTTTGGCTGGAGTGCGGGACTCTCATGAGGCCGCGGGCTTCCTCTTCTGGGACATTCAAGAGCAAATACAGAAGGAGTTTATTTCTGGACAACAGATACAAAAGTTTGTATTCCAGCTATTTTCTGTGACTCAGGAAAAACAGGTTTGTTTTTCTTAAAGGTCTGGTGTGTAACATTTAGGAGGCTCTATTGACAGAACTGGATATATTCATAGGTATCTTTTCATTAGTGTATAATCACCTGAAAACAAGAATTGTGTTTTTGTTACCTTAGAATGAGCTGTATTTATCTACAGAGAGAACGGATCCTCTTCTACAGAGTCTGCCATGTTGAACCGCCATGTTTCTACACTGGCTGTAGATAGGGGCTTTTCGTGCTTTTTACAGCCACCGTAGTTTCTCCTACACGCTTAAAATGGGAGGGGAAGGCGAGGCCACTGCAATTAGAAACTACGCTGCTAGATGACAAAATATAGATTAAATCCTACACACTGAACCTTAAAGTGCTACCAAATAAGCCACTATTGTATAATTTGAGACAATTAACATGGCTGACCTGCTAAAGGGGCCATTGATGATAAGCCGTTAGTTTAAGATAAGATAAGATAAGATAAAATATTCCTTTTTTATCCCCCTTAGGAGAAATTCAGTTTGACACAGCAGCAATAGGGCAAAGTAGTGCAAAAAACAGAGAACAAATAATATCACAATAAAAATATTACTAATATCATTAATATTAGAAGATATAAAACTAAGTATATACACTATGCATTGTTCAAGTAGGACATGGAGTGCAAAATATGAGCAGAAAATCAAACTTGACTAAAACTAAAAAACTAAAACTATAACTAAACTAAACTAAACTAAACTAAACTAAACTATTAAACTACTAAAGTGGAAATTAAATATAAATAGTGCAAAAGGCTTGTGCGTTGTAGGTAGGAGTTTTAAACCAGTCTTTGTCTGTGGGGGTTGGAGGTACTGGGTGCTGTGGCGTTGTGGAGTCTGATGGCTGATGGTACAAACGAACCTCCAAACCGCTTTGAGGCTCGGGGCTGGGTCAGTCTGTAGCTGAAAGTGCTCCTGAGCTGCCCACTCAGTGTAGAGAGGGAAGGGTTTGATGGTTTCCTTCCCTCTCAGTGTTCAGACAGCCCACACGTCCAGTCCCCCCACCACCGACATATGACAGGGGTTGTCCAATGAACAGTCTGTTGTCCTGTCCTGTGAGGGCCTCCGTGTGATCCGTCCAGTCCAGTTTATTGTTGAGTGTCACCCCCAGGAACTTGTAGGTGTCCACCATCTCTACCTTCTCCCCCCTAATCTCAACAGGGGAGGGGGTCCTCTTGCTCCGCCAGAAGTACACCACCAGCTCTTTGGTTTTTCCTGTGTTGAGCTGTAGGTGGTTCCTGTCGCACCATCCAATGAAGTTCTCAATCAGGTCTCTGTACTCCTCCTCCCTATCATCTGAGATACAGCCGACAATGGAGGAGCCATCAGAGAACTTCCGTAGGTGGCACGCTTCAGAGTTGAAGCAGAAGTCAGAGGTGTAGAGGGTGAACAGGAACGGTGATAGTACAGTTCCTTGGGGTGTGCCAGTGCTGCTCGTTACCACATCTGACAAGCAGCTGTGCAGTCTGACACACTGTGGTCTGTCAGTGGTCATTGCTTGAACAGATCATGTGGGACGCTCTCCAGAGAAATGACAGCAGTGGTCGCAAATTGAAACGGCTTAAAACCACCTAAATTCTTAGCACAGAGAAACGTAAAGGGGTCATAGTATCGTTTTCAGCCATAGCAGGCAGCTGATTTCAGCAAAAAACTCTAAAGCACTGCAAATGACCTGCCTAACACCAGTCTGCAAATAGAAAACTTTAGCAATTAGCTGGTGACCATTTAGCAGCTAAACAGACAGATATTTTGCTTAGGAGTTTGTGGAGAACAAAAAGAGAGCTAAAAGGACAATGAATGTGGACTTCCATTTCCTAGGTGGTGAGAAACACAATTCTACGTGAATGATAATGTTGCTCCATAAATGCTGGATGAGTAAATAAACCGCTGTTTGCAAACATGTTTGCCATGTAAACTTAAAATGTGATAATCACCTGTGTGTTTACAGCTATTTCAAGTGCCCTCAAAATGGCCATCAATTATTGCAGACTGTAAAAGTTTCAGTGCACCTAGTGACCACTCCATCTAGACAGGAACTCGTCTGCCTGAGGGAGGAAGAAGTCTTGGCATGAGGAACAATTTCAGGATGTGTGTGGGGACCCTGCACTTCTGGGAAAACAAACATCTATGGCACAGATGTGCTAATAAAAATGACTGCGGCAGCCTGCAGAGTTGGCATAAATAAACTTCCAGAAAGATACTGGCAATGAAACTTCACATTTGCAACTTAGAATGTGGAATATCTTCTGGGACCATGTTGGAAGTGTTTTACAATTCCTTTTTTTCCCCCTTTGTCTCATAATCCATGAATAAAATCAATCAATTAAAATCTTGGTCTAACCAAGTCCTAACAACCACCTGTAAATGGTCAGCTTGTAGAATCTCAAACATTGGTAGTATAATTTTGCTGCCTCGTCAGCTCATTTAAGTACCACCATCTAATTGCCCCATCAGTCTAATTGCAGTGAAAACTACTCTAGACATTATCCAAATAAATGATGCCCTTAATGAGACACATCTTCTGGAAAAACATCTTATATGGTTACAACAAAAGCAGCTTTGTTGTCTAATTAAATCTCAGCCAGTCACGGTTACGGTTAGCCCAAGGCTAGAAATGCAAGCGGAAAAAGCCCTGTAGGTCATAGATATTACATTCACATATGTTTCTCTCCAGCAACATCTTGCACCATCAATCAGTATTTCTTAAGTTAAATCAGTAGAGTATTGACCAAATCCATTACATCAACTTTTTTTTTTTTTCATTAGTTTAAATTTTTCTGTAAGCATTCAACAGAGGTGAAAATTCAGAAACTACATAACTAGGTAAATATGAACTAAGTCACTCTAAAAGCAGACACAGCATCTGTTTATCCAGATTACAATATTTGATAATTAGTGCCTATTATTTTGCACTTGCTATATTACTCAAATTAGAAACCAAAGTGAAACATAACTGACTGTCTGGGTGCTGTAGCAGCTTTGTGCAGTACACTTGTTGGCGTTGTGCCCAACCTCTGCAATTCAAATTAATTCACTAAAACATAATTTGAGAGGCAATTAAGCTTAAATATTATAAAATAGAATATATGTAAGAAAGAAAAACACTCAGTGGTTTTACTTATTTTGGAAAAGTTTGTCATTATGAGAATTTGAATAAATATCTACCCACATGTTGTCAGATTGGCCGGGTCCACCCAGCTGCAAAAATAGTGCTTAAAAATTGAAATCCTACAGTGAGATCATTAAATACATGTGTTTATATATTACATTCATATTGTTGATGATTTTTTATATTGGAGCAAAATGTGTAGTTAGTTACCCGCTGTTTAGCATGAATATTCCCGCAAACTGCTCTGTCTGGCTCCCAAACACCACGGTGCTTCAAACCCCTGTTTTACAACAAGGTGTGTACCAAACACTGGCAATGACCTTAAAGCTTCTCAGCAGAGGTCAGGCCACCTGGGTATACCCTACCTTGTAAGATATCTGGGGTTTAGGAGAGAATGTTATTTTTATCTAGGTTTTCCACAGTCAAATCCCCAGAGAGTGTTTGTTGTAGAGGATAGTGATGTATGATGTTCACACTTTATTTTATTTATTTATTTTTTTTAATAGCAGCTCTCAGACAGCCTTGGTATTGAGTCTGGGACTGGGACAGCTGCCAACAGACCTCTTCATTCTCTAGATTAGCCTGTGAAAAATCTGCCGCTCCGACTCATGCAGTATTTTAATGTCAGAATATTTCCACGTTGTCCCCATCGGCGGCTGTATTCAAATGAACGCCAGCTTATTGTACTGTCAGTCATTCAGGGATTAATGTCTACTCCTTGTTTGAATATTCCTTGTAGCACTATTATTTCAACTTTTCTTTTTCATACCTCATATGCGATGATCTTCTCAGTGCTGGACCCGGGGGGAATTGGTTCCCAGTACACCTCGATTTCAGAGGCTGACATAGCGCGGGCCCATACTCTTGATGGCGCCTCAGAGGGCTCTAAATACAATAGATCATGAATTATGCATGCTTGCAATTAAGAGTGAAAATAAATGTTTTTCTTGAATGAACATGATCAACTTTATTTCTCACCTTCATCTGCAGAAAACACGGTGACGACGCGGCTGAATCGCCCCTCTCCCACACTGTTGTAGACTCCCACTTTCACTTCAAACTGGGACAGAGGTGCGATGCTGTCGTTCCTGTAAATATATCTTGATGCGTCAGGTGATGCCAGCACTGTCTGGATCCAGGTGCTGCTGCCAAGTGGGCGGAAAGCCACGACATAGCCAAAGTCCTCTCCGCTCTGCTGTTCCTCTGGAACCGGCTGAGATAAGGACAGAAAGTTACGCCTTTGACCCAAACAACTGTGAGCAGAAATGTAATTAGGAAGCTGTAAAAAAAGTAGAAATAGTGTTTTATGTCTAGCAAACTATTGAGCAAATACAGCATCTTTCTGTTCTGTGGAGCACATCTGAAAAATGTAAAGTTGTCACCTGATTCTAGATTTACACATGGAATTTACAGTAGCTCCCTATCTCCTTTTTGATTTACACAGCAGAGGCTGTCGGCGGGCAGCAAATCAGAAAAAGCTCTGCCTTTAATTAAAAGCCATTCCGCTGAAGCCTGGCCACTGCAGACACAGTAACTCTGCCAGAAGTCCATTCTCGTCAAAAGATTCAAAGAACGCTCCGTCACAATGAGTGCCCGCTCAGAAATGCCCATGATCCTCTTACCTCCCACATGATGACAAGTTCTCCTCGAGCTCCTCCACCACCACTCACACTGACTGGTGCAACCTTGGGAACTAAACAGGCACAAAGGAAACTTAATCATCCTTTGGTTTGAACCGTTATGTCTCAGGCAGGTGCAGAGGATTCTATTAAACCACACAGCTTAGAATGAGGTGATCACAGCCACTCTTTAGAGCTTCTTATTTACACAAAAAGGGTTCATCACACAGCAGAGGAATTAGGTTTTTGTTGACAGTGGCATTACCAGTCATGTACGGTGCCGTTATTAGCTGAGCACCGTATGTCAGCCCCATGTGTGAGGAACGGTGGGAAGCCTGTTCCCTTGTGATTCAACCAGCGGGATGGAATTATTCAGCTAACCTGCTCAAAATAGACACTTTCATGTGTTTGCCTCATGGCATTTGCGGGTAAGTCATTTTTTCCATTGATGCGACTATTAATTAATCATGGCTCAAGTTCCAAGGTGCTGACACACACAAGCTTAGTGTTGATACTTAAGTGTTTAATATGTATTTTTAATTTCCATGTATTTAGCATGTGACTGAGTAATCAAAGTTTTGGCATGAAAAGCGAACAACAGATTTGAAATGAGTAACATCACAGGGAGCACTGAAGGTAACAGTTAAATTACATTTGCCAAGTGGGAATGATTAATCTGTTATGAAGAGAAGCAACAAATTGAGAGGATACCTGCTGCTTTGGTTCGAATCTGTTTTGATGGCGTGCTGGGTTCTCCAACGCCAACACTGTTGATTGCCACCACCCTGAATTCATAATCCACCCAGGGGTTCAAATCTTTCACCGTTGCATGCATCATCTGTCCAGGCACAGAATCAGGAACTAGGATTAAAGAATTTAGAATTGAGATGTGTTTTGTTTTTTTGTTTTTTATGTTTTACTGAGGCACATTTCACATTTTGTCTTCAACAAATAATAATGAAACAGTTCAAAACCAGTGAAGTACATCAAAATGAAATGGTGACATTTGTTAATCTTTTAATACTATTCCAATCACAGCATGTTCAGGGAGTAAGCGGTCCACCAGCTCTACACGCTCTGCAATGATTGTGGATACTGCACAGCAACGGCTGCATCTCACAATGCAATTTTGCACATAAATGCAATTAATAAATAGAATTAATAAGCTGTCAGATGAGGTCGTTTCAGTTAAACATGGCTGACATTACTGAGCTAAACATCGGCCTGTAATCGGCTTGTTATGTTTTAAATCAGCCTCTTTCAGATAAAAGTGTAATCTTAAATAAAGCAGGGTTGAGGTTACGGAGGGATGAAATTAATTTATGTCTGAGGAAAAACAGGCATTTCACTTAATCAGCCTCTAATGATTATTTCTGCCAAATATTCTGGGAAGTAGTATGGAGGATAAGGACTCTGAATAGAAGGCTGATGTCTTGATATGTCCTTAAACTGACTTTATTTAACCAAGTGAGTTCAAAATAATCAGAATTCTATCTGAGAAAAAAAGGATTGAGGAAGACTGATAAAGGCAGCTTTAATAAGTTGTTATACAGGCTTTGTATGCCATTTCACCCTTTATTAGCAGACTAAAAGATACAGATGTCTTTTTATACTTTGTCCATTCCCTTTTGCATACAGTAGATGAAGAGAAACACAATATTACACATACCTTTCATAATAATACAAGGGGCAACACAGACTAAGTTGAAATGTGCATCAACACTGAACACTGTAAGTTTCACAAAAGGAGGATTTATTGTAGGGCTGCTGTAAGTAGATTGCATTAGTGCATTTGAAAAACTTGAGAAAACGTGTAATTCAGTTCTTGCTTAAAGTCTTTTACCTATGAACGTCAGGGACTGTGTTATTTCAGTGAATTTTTGGTCCTAACTGCTTCTAGTGTAGCTAATGGCGAGCACAATAAACATTGACACATTTTAAAATATGACTCTTTTTTTTTACTTGTGTGCAGTAAAGTTAGTTAGTTAATCTATTTTCAAAGGTTTGGTCGTGGCAGACACACACATTGTAGCTGTTTGAACAAGAGCTTGATGAAGCTTGAGAAATTACAGCACTGAAATGCCCAAAATATGTTGGTATTGGGCTTGAAATGTAAATCGTTATGTACTTGGGGTATCGTTTAAATGGCAGGGAGAGCCTAACAAAAGATACTTTGTGGTTGAATTGTGGGGAATTTAGGATCCAGTGTCTGTGCAGCTTGACCCACATAGTTACTACCTTAACCTTTACTGCTTCAGTTTTGATTATTCCTTTTCAATCTGTTTCTTATAAGCCCCCAAACCTAATGAAACTGCAATGCTAAATTGCTAGAGTACCCCTTTAAGGGAGTTTGTGTGTAGAAAAATGAATACAAGCTTGATGTATGTTATTGGATATTTTCAAAACTCTCAAATATCTGGACTGGCCCTGTAAAATCCAGAATGGGTTAGACTGAACAATCTGCACAGGGTTCTGTTTCCTTGTTGAGCTGCATCATGAATGAGAAAAAAAGATCCTCAAGTGAACAACTTTAACAATGGGATCCTCATCAGTTTTCTTTCTAACTAATTTCTTGTTGCTCAATGACCGCTCACTAAACAGACTTTCATTCATAGAAAGAGCTATGAAAGCCTTTCAGCCTTTCTCTGTTACAAGCAATGCATCTGAGAAACAGCCTCCCAAATGCACACAGACTCACACACAATAATGTAATTCCTCAGTATTGACTTAAATGCACTGAGAATAAGTGTTTGATGTTGGTGCAGCTGTTACCTGTTCTCACAGTCTGCCAGCCTATGGAGAAGGGGGTCCTGGCCTGTACCATGTACATGGTTACAGGGCTGTGGTTGTCAGGTCCAGAGCCCCAGGACAGTTGTACAGTGGTGTCAGTAATATCAGTCACCACCAGGCCCTCCGGGGCACCAGGAGGTCCTACGACATGCGGAAACAAGGACAGACACCTGCATGAGCCTCTCAGATCTCACCACAGGTGTTAAGTGATTCATGACCCATCTAACAACCTCAATTCAGGGCTAGTGGAGCTATAATTGGATCTATTGGGAGTGTCGGTCTAATCAATATACTGAATAGTGCAGTTCACCAGGAACTCCAGTTAGAACATATACTGAGTTAGTTTACTTGAGGACAGTGGGTTTTTTTCCTGTGCTAATACATTATTACTTTGCAGGTCATGAAAGTTCAGTTCTATGGTGTTTAAACTCTGAAAGAAAATCATCAATCATCAAGTGAAAGGAACATTTAGAAAGCTCCAGAACCTGGTTGCCCAAACTACCTACCCAAGAGGAGAAAATCATTATTTAACAATAACCAGGGAGACCAGTAGAGGAGAGGGATTTGGAAAAACAAGGCAGGATTTTGAATTGGGATCTCATAGAAATTAGAGAAAGCAGCATCATGAGATCAAACAAACAGGCTGGGACTTGGAAAACTGACATAAGATTTCGTGCTAAGCCCACAAATCTGCAAAAGTAGCACTGAGCCCTCAGCGGGACTACCTGCTGCTGGAAGAAGATCACTCGGTATCAACAATGCTTGGTTTCAGATTACACATACAGAAACATGCAATCTACAGCTGTACCATCTGACTTTGCCTGCAGACTGTTGATGCCATGCTTTGGCAATCTGAATCAACCAGACAACAGAATTATTATCCTACTTGGTGAGGCCGGTGTATAGCGGAGCATAATAATAAATCACCACACAACTCCAATTTATATTCCATGACCCTTTTGGAGCATACTGTAGTTCACTGCATCTGTAAGAATGAAAACAGCAGCTGTCCTTGTACTCACTTCCAGGGCTTGTCTTGGAGATTACGACACAAATCAAAATATTGTATCAGCCATTAAAGTCATACAAGCTGTGCTGAGAAGATGATCATGACACCAAACCATCTGATGAGTAAAGTGTGAAAGCATGTTCCGCAGCAGCAAGATAAACATTTGGTGGTGCTAATTCTCAAGTCAGGTGTCACTGAAACATTGAAGAATAAGAGGACACAACAAGATGATGTAATTAAAGGAACTCCAGTCAAACCTCAAACAGCAGAAAACCATGTTGAAAACATGATGGAAATGTGTTGTTTGTGCTGTTTTTCTATGCTTTTGCTCCACTGAAGAGACGCTTCATGCAAATACTGATTTATTCACTAAGTCTGATTCCATTGCACTTTCTTGCATTTTGATTTTATCAATACACCAAATTTCCAACTCAGACAAGCATTAAAAACTTTTTTGTGATATTGACTGTTTTATTTGGTTTACAGCGTTTCCACTCAGGTTTTTTTATGCTCAAATTGAAGAGATGGCGGCACCACGATTAAACAAAAATGACTGACCATAACAACTGCTACTTTAAAAAGTAATAGGTATAACCTTTTTGAGTAAGGATCACATAATACTCAATACTGCAATTCCAAAATGGTTGTTATCAAAAGTTACATGGGACTCTTGAATCTTGAATTAAATGAATCACTTATGCTTAGCACATCCACACTCAAATATGTGTGTGATGTAACTGAAGATACCTCGGTTTAATCATCAAATATATTCCTCCACAGAATATATGGTGTTGAATTTGTTGAAAACTTAAAAAGTGTTTTTCTTCTTGTATGAAACTAGTCTCTGATCTTTTTGGATATCCCTGAAGCTTTTCTGGCTTAAAGTTGAGTGTAATGATAGAGCTCACGGGTTAAAGGTACCATATGTGAGAATTGGCCAATTATCAAATTCATACCCCAAACAAATGGGGGCCAGCATATCACCAGAGTAACCGCCAACTTGTGCTAACTGTAGCTGATGTTAGCTAGTTAGCCCAATGAGTTGTGCAGCTAGCAGTCCTATTAGCTGTATATACTATATGTCTATAAGCTGACTCTGCCCGGACTGGGAGCTCAGAGCCCTGGGGGAGTGTTGGTGTTTACACCACTAGCACAGGAACTTAAGACCGCCGGGGGGAAGAGGTTTTCTGGCCCAGGGCAGGAGGGACCCAGCGGGGAAGGCTGGTGGGGAGCAGCCAGAGCTGGAGCTGAGAGAGCGGACACCAGAAGCAGGGTCAGCAGCCTCCCAGTGAACACTGCTCCAAACACAGCCTCCGGGAGTGATGGAGGCCAGTTTGACGACAGGGAATACAGTACCGGTGATTTACAGCGACTATAACCTGGACTCTGGGGACAACAAAGACATGGTGGGTTCAGGCAGGGACAGGAGAGGCATGAAGAGGGAGATGAGTGAGAGGAAGGTCAGACTTCAGTTACTTAGAGGCCTGAGCGGGGGGGTTACAGCAGGGTCAGTGCCACTGACGTCAGACTGGATGCTACAGTGACTCACTATGGCCCCTTGAGGTACAGTGTGGTATTAAGAGACAGGATAGGTTGACGCCATCTGGTTAGCCTGCTAACTACAGTAACTATCTCTGCAACACAACACAGATGTCTGATAAAACTGATATTTTATTCACAATGTGTTCATTATAGTTTATTTGTTCTTACATAGCACACCTTTAAAAACAGAACAGCAACACCAACTTTCACGGTGTCAATCTGAAAGTCTATTAAAGCTGCTTCTCTCTAAATCTCTGAAAACTGTCATCTTGGTGACACAGCTCTTATCTGACAGCAGAGAGATGTGTGTGTCATAATCCTAAGAAACACACACACACACTCAGCAAAAAAAGAAAAAAGAAATTGAAAACCTCCATAGAGACTGCAACAAAATGACAAGAAAAGAGGAAGAGGCATACCTCTGACAATTAAGTCTGCTGCTGCTGAAACAGTGTCAACTTCAGTGTGTACCATACACACATACTTCCCAGAATGCTTTAGCTGAATGTTCCTCACCATCAGGTCACCTGCAAATCCCTAATGACAAAGACACATTCGTATAAAAGCCTCGGAGAGGGAGAAAAACACCAGTGTAGCAAAGTCAAAGTAAAAAAAAAAGAAGTATGGAAAATCCTCGGAACACATTAAATTTCTTTCTCAGTCATATGCAGTAAATCCTCCGTAAAATAATCGTGGAAGAATTCACCACAGGACTGCTAGGGGAAAAAATGACATGACAGTCTAGCAAAACAAATTAATTCAGTTTTACATTGTAAGGAAGGCTACACAAAAATGACTTGTTCTGAAACAGCTTTTTCTTTGAATCAGTGTTGTGTTTATTTACCCTTACAGCTCAGATGAATGGTTCTAGTAAGAATTTTCAAAACTGCCTTCTGCACTTTACTGTTGTGTACTCTCTCTCTCTCACACACACACACACACAAGATTTTCAAAAGTTTTTCTCAGCAAAATACAGCGATTCAGAAATCAATCCCTTTGAGTAAAAAGCAAAGGCAAGTTAAACAGCTGTTGTGATTATGTTCACAGTGGAAATGTCAGTGCTGTACAGCGACTTCAGTGGGCCTGGTGAGCTCAACTAGAGGGAGCATAAATCTTCTGATTACAAAAATTTAGGCTCCTTTGTTCAGAGAGAAATTGATTGATTTGCTCATACAGTGAAATCACCTCTGGGCTGAAGAAATGTCATCCCTGTTTACAGGTTTTCCCCTCAGACACAACACACAGTAACATCTGCTGGTATCTCTGAATAACATGTACACGGTTTCTGACACATGGGCTCAAAGGCAAAACCCACCCAAAAGCAAGAATTCCCCTAGCACTTTAAAGTTCTCATTCAATCAGTTTGATCTATACTTAAAGGAATAGTTTGACACTGTGAGAAATACAGTATATTCGATTAGCAGATGGATACCCCTCTCATGACTGTGCATTATGGAGCTAGATCCAGGAGACAGTTACCCTAGCTTAGCATAAAGACTGGAGGCAATTACAATAATTGCTTTCCAGCACCTAAAGCTCACTAACTAAAGAAATATCCATCATTTATATATATCACCTATATCTATCCATTAAATATGAAATTAGAGCCAGAAGCAGCACCTTAGCTTAGCATAAAGACATGGGGAAAGGAAACAGCTAGCCTGGCTGTATGCAACCTCCAAGGCTTACTAATGAACACATTAGAGCTTGTTTGTTTAAAGCTGTAGCAGGTCCTTTTTTTTTTTTGGAAAAACAGCTTTTTGTCATCTTTGCTGAAACTTTCATTATATCCTGACGGTAGTACATGAGACAGATAATCTGTGAAAAAAATCAGGTTCCTCTGGCTTCTAGTGCTCCTAATAGCATTTACAATAATCCACCGGGCCTGAACAAAAACAACTAATCAGAGCAGAGGAAGATAGAAAGACACTTTGGGTTGGTGGCTTGAAGGCCATTGATTGTTAAGTCTGATTCCCAGCATTGATATTTGACAATCTGTGAAAGAGATCTTGAGATCCTGCTGGTTGCCGGACAAAACCCTCCCCCCACAAACTTGTGTTTTTATGCTTCAGTTTTTTGTATGGATTAAACAATTTATAATACAATATTAGTGGGTTTTAGAGGTGCCAGTAGTATTCTGGTTATTATTTGTGCTAAACTATGCTAACAGGCTGCTAGCTTTAGCATCCTATTTAACCATCACACATAAGAGTGGCATCCATCTTCTCGTCTCTCAAGTCTCCACGGAAATCTAAGAAGCATATTTCTTAAAATGTTGAACTATTCATTTAACATGTTGTATCTTGTTTGTTTAATGCTTAAGCAAACAGTTATGTAAAAACAACAGTTGGTGGATTTATGGGGAGTTAGGTGCTTTAACTATTTCTGATCAGAGAACAGCCAGGTGCAGGGACTTTTCTGGTTTATCCTAACACACTTCCACGGGTAAACTTGCACTGTGGGGTTTCTATGAACATGGAAAACAATAAGTGGGGATACTTTGACACATGTAAATTCCCCCTTAAACCATTACCCCCTAAACTGTCACTTTTCACTTTTTGTGCTTATCAAACACAAAGGGATATTATGTGTTATATGAGCTTCAGAGGTTTTAGTTAACATAATTTTGAACTTTGGAGAAAGCCAGGTTAGCCGTTTCCACCTGCTTTGATTTTTTTATGCAAAGCTAGGCTAATTGCCTCCTATCTCTAGCCCCATACTCAATGCCTAGACATGATAGTGGTATTAATCTTCCCTTTTATTATTATTATTATTATTATTATTATTATTATTATTATTAATAATAATAATAATAATATTAATATCAGTACATCAGTACATCAGTGCTAGACTACAAGGAAGACAGTCTATATCATGCCATAAGTAATGTCTTCTTAAGTTCCACAATCCCTGAATGGCTGCAATGGGTTCCCTGGTATTACAAAGCCTGTTGCCATTGAATGAGTGTATTTTGAATCCAGGTTTTGATAAGGAATTAGTTGGGTGATAAGCATTCAGGGAAATTCAATACACACTGAAACTGAAATGATTTTTTTATATGAATATCACAGGTTATCAGACATAAAGTGGCAGAAAAACACAGCTCTCTGGAACTTCAACATCGGCTCCAGTTTACGGAGGTCAAATCCTTGGCACTGATTTTCTTTGCCTGAAATCATCAGGTGTTCACCCACATTATACATACCCCTCCAATCATCTCAAAGTGTTCCTGCCTGCTGAAATCAATGGCTTTCCCATTGAAAAACCACTTGAAGATGGGACTCAGGGACGAATCACTGGACACCTCGCATGGCAACACAAGGCTCTGTCCCACGGTGGCGTCCAAACTCAAGGGTGGAACTATAATCCTGGTAGGCTCTACAGCATTATGGAGGAAAAAAAGGAGAAAATAATTTGTTACTATATGTAACACTGTATCTATATAAAATCCAGCCAAATGAAGAAGGTAATAAAGCTTAATTTGCTCAGAATAGTGAGACAGATTCTGCTCTATCAGTGTAATTAAGTAACCTTAAATAACTTCACTTAGGAAGCGAATGCCTCCCATAACTCAGTAATGAATAATTAAACACACTGCAATCACAATGTCAACTAAGAAGGAAAAAAAAGAGCACTCTCTCTATAATCATCATTATTTAAAAACCCAAATCTGAAAATGCTACAGCAGCTCTTTTTAAATTAAATGTTGGTGACAAAATATTCCTCACTCACAGCCGTAGATGGCGGTGGTTTGCCCCACTCCGCTACATGAACAATAACTCACAGCTGACAAAACCATGGATGACTTATACGTCTGTCAAACCGGCGGGAACATAAAACGGCTATATATTTCATTATCAATTTCATGCTTGAGCTAGTATTTTTTCCCTTTAACAAAAGTTTAAACCCATGGCTTAAAAGATACAGTAGTGAAAACCTGTGGAAAAAAAGGAAAATACCTTTCACCACCAGCGTTCCTGTGCTGCTGGATGTTCCAAAATGGTTTCTGGCCACACACGTGTACCTGCCTCCATCAGATTTAGAGATGTTGGTGATACGTAGAGTCCCATCCTCCATGATAGTCTGTCTGAGGAGAGGGACAAAACTGAAACCATCATAAGTTAACATCTCTCATTTGATTATTATTTATCATTTGAATATAAATATTAAATTAGTTGTTAATTGAATGAAATATGATGATACAAATTTAATTAACTACTTCCTGGTTGAGATATGATGTCATCTCTGAAGCCATTTGGACTCCCCCCCCATTTATTTCATTTTGAATGAAGGCTTCAGAATCTATTTCAAAAGACTATTTACACGCCTCAGAAGATAACAATTATCTTAGCTGAAGCAGAACAGATTTGCTGTAGGGTCAGCATAGTATTGACAGCACAGTAGCTTAAATGCACATATTAATTGGATACACAACAGGCCACCAGGGCCAGGCAGGAGGCGATAGGAAGAGGAGAGCAGGACTGGTGAGAGGCAATTTGAATGGGATCTTTACCTGCAGCCTTATCGCGCTACAACACGTGGCGATAGTATCAACATGCTATAAGCCATTTCTGAAAACTAATAACGTGGACACATGCATACAGAAGCATTGCACTTGTCAGGCTGGTCTCAAATAAAGTGGGAGTCTGATGAGAGTGCTTGAAAGAAACACGACTATAACAACAATTACACAGAGGAATGTTGACCCCATTGTTGTCTGAATGAAACAGCTTGTGACTTACTTTCAGGAACTATATTTCCCTTTGTATATATATATTTATATATATATATATATATAAAGGCATACTATATATATTTTCTGTTCTTCTATGAATGTATTTATATTTTATTGTGTGTAGCATGAAGGGAGTGTAAACTTTACACAAGCTTGTGTTGCATAATGATAAATACATTTCCTTCATTTCTTGATTCCAATATGTTTTGCTCTGTCCTTTACAGTACTTGTCTATGACTAATGTTCAATTCTATCATACATTTATTGCAAATACAAACCAGAAAAAAAAAGATTTCTGCCCTGAATAGCATTTGTAGATGTTACTTTTAGGCTGCAAATAGTGGACTAGGGGTCCACCATTATAGTCGACGCTGACATTTAGAAAGCAGGGAGGCCAATGTCTAATGCAGATATCAAAAAAAAAAAGTCATGTATAATTCTATTATTCCATGTACATTACAATCTAATATACATGGTTATCTTAGCCAGTAACATGTTGTCACTGGTATTTAAGGGAGAGTGGGGTACTGTGTGTCAGAAGCGACATCATTCAACTGCATTGTTCTCTACAATATAACATAATACAGAATATATTTAATGCCAGCCAGTAACAGTTTTAGATTAGATTTGATGTTATTTAAGATGGGAGAAACATGTTAACATTCAAAAAGGACGATCATTCAATAAAAAAAAATTACATTTAAAGTCAAACTCGAACTCGAAGTTTTGCCAACCTGTAATCCTTTGTTGAGAGAATTTACTTTTCTACTTTAGAAAAACTCAATCATTTGAATTTTAGAAATGAAAAACGTTGTATTCCGAAAAATGTTCAGATTGAGCTGTGAACCCAATTTTTATTATTCAAAAAGAATTGATGTAAAAGTTTTTCAAATTCACAACAATTTAAGTTACCAAAACAAAAAAATTAAAGTTTTTCTAAAGAAGAAAAGTAAATTATAAATTATTATTAGTTTATTTAAAAAGCGTGCATAAAAGTTCAAATGTTGTAGAGTTCCACCACTTGTCAGTGTCACGCTTGACTCAGAAAATCAATCAAATAGAGCAAGAGGCGGGCCCTACTACCACTTCCTTCCTGTTTCGAAGCCATTTCATGTTCCAGTAAATAGGTTAGCAAGCTAGGTAGCTGTTTGACTGTGAGAGAGCTACACCTCTTTGTGTAAAGAGCTAGGGTATTACTCATCTAGAGCTTGACATCTGCTTGAATCCACTATTTTTTTCCCAGTAAACATATTTGATTATTCTTTCTGCTCCACTGGTGCAACAGCGTTTTTTTCCCTGACACTCTTTGCCAAGTCGTTTTTGAAGTGGTCCTTCCTGTAGCGATGCGTCTCTGTGTGATCGGCCCCTAAGAGGGGGCAGCCTGTGTGTAGCCTGACAGGTAATAACTGAAGGCGTCTCAGAAGAGTGTATCAACATTTGTATCAATTCAGATCTTCCCTCCTCTGGCCTAGCAGGACAATAAGATACTGCTCAGAGAGACTTCAGTAAGAAAATCCACCTGAAACAATAAAATTGAGGGGACAAACAGAGGATTTTAAGAAGTGACATGTTCCCCACATCCTCATTGGAAATTACACCTTTGTTTGAAATACTTCACATTCTAGCCTCCACCAGTTATTTTGGCGCTTTGGCCCTACCCATACAAGTCGGAAAGCATGTAAACATATGCATAAATGAGGCAGATAATGCTCTCCTGTTGTGACCTTTGAATTCAGTAAATCAAACACAAATGCTGTGAGCAGCCAGCTCAAAAATCAAACAATTTCACATTGGCTCCCAAGAATAAATATGTATTCACTCGAGCCGAGCTGAGACCCAGAGAGCATGTCTGACACAGGGTGCTTTGTGCTGATTTATTGACAAAAATATCCAACGCTGAGTGATGGAGGCGCACTGAAAACATGACCTGAGGGGCAATGAGCTGCAAAACAAATAGAAACGTAAAGAACTATCTGCTTTGTAGACAAACTCCGTTCCATGCTGTGAATTTCTATTCTTTCCCAAATGCACGGCCTGGGTAATTTTTTTCCCTTATCTCATGGCCAACCCATGGAAAACATGATAACTAATCAATCCCCAAGTCACATGTTGAGCCGGGGCCACTGAGTTACGGAAAGTCTATGGAAATATGGCTGTACATATCGATCTGAGCCAGAACCCAAAAGAAAATGAGAAAGGAAGAAACAGCAGGAGAGCAGCTTCACACTTTAGACTTCATCTGACACATATCCACCATGCAAATTAACACTACAAAATTAGATTCAGCATATGCCACAGTGCTAAGAAAGTGCATTAAGGTGCACTGTGGTCAGACTGTCATAACTCTCTATTTCCTGCAATCTTTTTAGCATCTAGAGTTTGCTCTTTGATGGAGAAAATTTGATACTCAAACCACTGTATTTCAAAATGTTACATCTCCCCAGTATAATGATTATGTTGTTATCTGAAATAAGACATTTAATTGAAAATCAGTTGCTGGTTAGCGGTTTTCCAAAGAAAATCATAATTAACTGAGTAAAATCCCTTTTTATTATCCAACTAAAGCCATATAAAGGCTCACAAATGATTTTGTATTATTATTACATGTTTCTGATCATTCACTCACATCTAAGCATTGAAATGAACGAGCATGAACCGTATTAACCAAAAAGATTATTGTTGTACACCTTGCTCAGGTCTCCTGCCAGCAAATTTAAGTGAGCTGTAAGGTTTATCTTCCAGTATTCACGATGGGGACACAGGTTAATGAATTCCCACCAAAAGATTCATCAAAAGCATTTGCGCTAATGAAAGAAATTCAGTGAAATGATCCGTGCCCCGGATACAGCCGTTTAAGGTGAGGATTCTTCCATTTGCAACTTTTTCTAGTGAAACTCATTTTAGAAACTCCTCTACAACACTGAGCTTAATCTTGTTTTGCTGCGTTAGCACAGAGTTCAACAATCATAAGTAATGTAATCATAACAATTGCAGCTGTCATATTGTATGTTGCTTTAAATATGCACATGATCACTACATGATATCGGGGTAAAAGACTGACAATATAAAATAATACAAAACTTCCAGTTAAACTTAGTATTGGAGGAAGTACTGGAGAAAGAAATAACTTCATAGACATTCTAAATTACCCATTCTGAAACAGCTAATTATACCCCCGTTGGGAAGTTGCTAAAGTTGCTGCCTGAAGAGAACAACGAAGCAAAGCTCTCAAAGAAAATTGACGCTATTAAGTTAATTATACAGCTTGAGACTGACATGGCATGATGGTGTTTCACAAAAGACATGGTTGCGATTGTGTGACTGATGATGGGCATCATTGCGTTAAGAAATTACCTAATTATTCCCATATTCTGTCTTCTGTATGTAGGGCTAAAATAATGATGTCAGCAATGGGACCTGTTGAGTTTCAGTTTGGAGCGTCTTTCTGAGATTATCAGATCTGGCTTCAGTCCTAACAGTGCTGCAAGTGAATTCATGCTAGACAGTGATTTCCACTGCTGCAACTGTTGTAGAGTATTCTGGAAACTGTTTGAGTCTCTTTACTTTTTGGACCTTTCTGTCAGCTACCCAGTCCAGTCCCTGTTTACCTGAACCTACATGAACATTTTATGTACTCTACTCTTTTGCCAAACCTTTGATGAAAGCAGATCTCATACTGCGCTTGAACTCTGTTGGCTCTTATTGTGTGTATTAGGCTCTGCTAAAGCCGAGCGCAGCAATAAACTGTTTCTTTTAGCTTGCAGGTGTTGCCTCAGACCTTAAATCATGACATGGTGTGGCCTGTCATGTAGCCTGAGGTGGAGTTTCAGTGAAGGATGTAGTCAGATTGTTTTTCTCTGTGGTTTTCACACAGAGAGCGTCCCTGCAGGATCTCTGTTCTACATCCAGCACTTTGACTGCCTTGAAGAGCAGTGAAACTGTGGGACACTGGATGTTTTGAAGTTTCAAACAGCTAAATTCATCTTGTGCCTTAAAAAATAGATAGAGTCAGGATCGTGGCCTCATTCTGACATTAAGTAAAAAGGCACCAGACAAAACTAATATATGTCAACAGGAAACCAACATATTTTTCTATGTGAAGCATAAGGTATCTATCTAAAATAAAAAGTGCAACCCTACAACATTGACTTCCAAAGTCCCCTTGAACAGAGGCATAAATAACAACGAATCCTAGAAATGAAAATGACCACATGAGAAAAGCCTTTAACAGATGCCATCGGTAGCATGAGCAGCAGTGCATACAGTACCCTACCTCTTGCTGTCCTTCAGGAGCTCGCCTCCTCTCCACCAGGAGATTGTGGCTCTGGGGGAAGCGTGGGGGCGACACTCTAAGACCACCTCGCCCCCCCTCTGGATCACTGTGGACTTCTTCACGGGTCGGCGAGTGAAGTCAGGTGGGGAGGCTGAGAAACAGACCCGTGTTAAGGCCATTTGTCTCGCTTCGTGGAGGGGCAACAGCTGTGCATCAGCAGAAATGTCAAGTGCATCACCAGCAATTACAGAAATGATATTTCACCGGCTTATTGTATGAAAGAATTATGTAAATGAAACAGCGAGGCCATGGCTAAGTGAAGAGCCGGTCCAGAATCTATTTATTTATTCATTTACTTTCAGAAAGGAAGCACTTTCATGCCACTGACAGCACAATGCACAGACAGTATGTCTCTGCCTTCAATTCAAGTCATTGTAAATGATACAGAGCAAACAAAGTGCTTACCTACAACCTTAAGCTCAGCACTGGCATAGACAGCTCCTTGTTCATTGTCTGCCACACACTGATACATCCCAGAGTCTAACAGACTAATCCTGGATATGGTCAGTCTACCAGCTTCCACGTGGATCCTCCCCTGCAAACCAGGCCAGCTGATTAATGTCTGATAACATCTTTCACTCATTTATTTACAGTTTTTTGCAAGATGAATGCAAGCTTTTGGATGATCTTTAAGGGTTTTAGCTGTTCAGTAAGATTTGTTACCGAATTACTTCTGTCTGTGGTGTCTTACCTCTGCTGTTAGTGGCTGGCCGTTCTTCAACCATTTGTATGTAGCCCTTGGCTTACCGATGGCCTTACATTCCCACTGCAGATTAGCATCAATTGCCATGTGAGCATCTTTCAGTGTCTGGACCCAGTGCAGCTGTTCAACATCTGGGAAAAATACCACTGATTATGAATATTTATTGAGAAAAATGTCAAAATTCTATTGCAGATGTATTTCACTTTTACCAATATCTGACTGCTTTGTAATGAGTAGGAGCAGATGAGTTTAATATCTCCCTATACTTTTTTATGATAATATGCATTGTGGAGCTAAAACATGGACTGCAACACCCTGGTCAATTTTATCAGTTTCCCAAAATCATGTGGAGAGGTTATTTTTTATTTTTTTATTTTTTTCAAATACATGGGTCATGGGTTATTGCTTTTAATGTGAAGTAAATATCTGCCTCATTTTAACCGCTGGAATGGTTTTGCGGTCTCTGGGTCAGATATACATACATTGTAGGCCATGGCAAATTTGTACTGCTTATTTCAATCAATTTGCACTCGCAATCTGCGTGTAATTAGCTTGTGTAATTTACTAAAGCAGCAGCTCATTATGCAATCAGTGCATGGGACAGAACTGCAGTCTGCAGTAGGTGCAGCAGTTCAATTGAACTCCAAAAAATTCTAGTACTCAGTTAATTACAATACGGCCTGATTTGTTGGCCTTCTTTCATTATTAAAGCAACAGCGGTCAATAAATCAGGAAGCAAAAGAAAATATAAGTGAGAGAGAGACGTAAGACAAGTAAGGCTGAAGGAGATGATACTGATTCGGATGTCTCGCTACAACACTGAGGTAAATGTAACCAAAATCAAACTCAAACTCAAAAACAATGTAGCCTACAGTGATTTTACACTTCACTGATTGTGGAGTTCAAGTTTAATGAGTTCAAAACCATGACTACTTTTCCCTCCTTATCGGATGTTCTAAAATAGTGTGACATATTGTTCATTTAGTCATTGATTTTCTTTCTACGAATCTATTTTAGTTATGTAGCTTTTATTCATTTATCTATTCTGTGCCAACTGACTGACTGCAGCTTTCTACATGATTTGGTGGTGTGCTCACCTTTTGTCTGCTTCTGCAAGTTTTCCTTTCCCACCACAACCTCATTTTCAGTACAATTACTACTACCCTTCAGATATGCTGGATTTCCCATGCAAAACCTGAATTCACAATCAACCACAAGTAACTCCTTCTGCTCTTTTCATGATCTGACCTTGAATGCATAGACTTTACTGGTGACAAACAGAGAATGCTTCAGATGACAAGCGAACTATCAAAATAATGGATGCCATTAGGAGCACTAGAACAAGCCAGAGGAAGCGGATTTGTAGAAGAATAAACAAAACTTAAATACCGTGTTTTTGCGGAATAACTAGTGTATAGTTATTCAAATAGAATAACTCTAGTACATTCTCTATTTCAGTCAAGTAGCAATACTGCTACATTTCCATATGTATTTCGTACATTGTGCAAAACAAAAACATTTTGCAGATGACACCCAACTTAAACATGTCAATAATTGGATGTGCCTGAACTTTGTTTCAGCTAAACACAAATAAAACTGAAATACCTGTCTGTGGTGCGAAAGAAAAAGGCTGGGGCACAGCTCAAAACAAAAACCAAAACTCTTAGATGTCACCCTTGTCTGGTCATAAAGACCAAATCATATCTAAACTCCATTAAAAGGTGTCACTCATTTCTATCACAGAGCACATTAAAAGCAGGTTGTACAATGGTTGTTTTGTCCAATAGTTCTGAATTGAGCTGCACGTAGGAGGTAGAGAGGTTAGGTTGGTGTGTAGTTGCTTAGTCATCTTCTAGCGAATACATGTTCTATAACAGCCAAATTGTATTTCCTCAAGAATAACCTTTAGAAGGATTAAGCACTATTACACAATGAGACGATAAGGTGGCTCTTAAACGTAACTAATGCTTTAAAGAAAACTGCTCCGTATGTAGGCCTAGGCTTTTCTGTGAACTAATTTCCCCTCATTTATTAGGAAATGTCTGACAAGATTGCCTTTAACTGTTGAGGAGAGATCATGACTTTATAGTTTTTGACAAGAATATAGTGGGGAAGTGTATCAATGTAAACTGTATTTGTAGACTGGCTAGGACATTTGATTGCAGTGTGTATGCTGCTTATATTACAAACGAATACAGTACATGTGTAAGTAGATGTATGTAATATTACTTACTATCATATATGTGGTATTACTTTCACTTTCTATTGATTAACAAAACATGATGTTACTGCAGTCATTTTTTTCCCTATAAACCCCAGGAAGAGTAGCTGTTGCATTGGTAACAGCTAATGGGGATCCAAATAAATAAACAAAAAATCTATATTGGTGTAATCATGGAGTGAGAGTGAACACTTTGAAGGCAAATCAAATCAATAATTAAGTCTGCATAGTAAGAACTGGAGGATTCATGTCCATGTAAGACTGTGTACTTGGAAAGAAACTAAGAATCACCGGCTTCCAGTCATATCACAGAGTTTGAATACTTGTCTGTAAATTTAGGACATAAATACATCTCTGACCTTGTTTTACCTAATGACCCCTCTTGGCCTCTCAGGTAGTTTGTTAACAGAGTCCAAATTAAACATGGAGAAGCAGTAATTAGTTACTTTGCAGCACAGAACCGGAACAAACTTTGACTTCTTTTAAATCAGCTTCTTTCATGTTCTTCACTGCCTTTGCCCTAATTATTTTCCACCTTTTACTTCAATTTATTTCTCTATCTATATGTATGTATGTGTATAGGTATGTGTATATATACACATAAATATAATTTGTTTTAAAGGGTCTATCTTTTGATTTGTGTTTTAATGCTTTCAACGGCGTATCACCTTTTGAGTGCATTATGTAAAGCACTTTGAATTGCATTATGCTAAATAAACTTGCCTTTATGTAAGCACTATTGACACCAAACTAGATGTCTAAGTTTTAAAGCAGAAACCGTACAAGTTCTCAAATAATTTGACCTAAACTAATTAATAGACTTCATCTTTTTTGGTTCTTTATCAACACGTACAGCAGACAGACACATTGCAGACTCTCACTCATATGTCTGCCTATAGAGGACAGCTGCGAATATCCACTGAAGTAAACGCTGCTTTCCTAAAACATCCAAATGATTCATTCAAAGCAGTTTGACAGCTGCTTCTTTCTGATTCTATGGAGGTGGCAGACTTATCCTGACATATGAGTAATCTCATTTTCTACTTGAAGCTACTGGTTAATAGAAATATTCCCTGTGCCAGGGGAGATCTTTAACGTTGTCATCACAAAAAAGCACAGATAATGAGCACAAATTAAGTCCAGATTATCCCCGCATTATAAGGCTTTCATGCTGAGAAAATAACTCAATTAGTTTAGACAGAACAAATAATAAAGCACTTGAGATCGTTTTCCAAAAAATGCAAACACTAAATAATTATATAGTAAAGTGCTAGATATTAAACAGTAGTGATTAAGGACTCATCTGCCTGAAACAGGAAGCACAAGTACAACTGCTTTCTTACTGTGGAATAGAAGTTGCCCTCTGGCAACATTTCGTCCTCTGCTGTTTTCGGCTATACACTCGTACACGCCGGCGTCCTCTGGGCGAAAATATGGAATTTCCAGAACCCCACTGGAGTGGTTGATTTTAATCTTGCCAGGGAGTGGATTTCCATCAGCTCTTCTCCATGAGATGGAAGGCACGGGGCTGCAGAGGTCACACACAAAAGGTCACGCTGGCCACATGCTCCTGCTCACACTGGCCAGACGGACTGCTGCCGTGTTTGTCAGCCCGCTTGACGTTACAGAGGATGTCTGGCACGAATTTAACAATACAATGTGAGGGCTGCACCGTGCTAATGTTTCTGACACTTACTTTCCTAAGGCAAAGCATTCCAGCTTCACTGATGATCCTTTAGAGACGTGAAGGGTGTCAGGGAACTGAACCTCAATCTTTGGCTCGTATTCACCCATCACCACTGCATGAGGGATAAAAGCAAATCACATCAGTCAAAACACAAAACATGGACATGCAGTTTGCTGTAATTCATATTGGATGTAAGAGCTGTGGCACGGATGACACTGGCAAAGAGAAAGCGCGCGTGTTGACGCCATATACAACAGTGTTTGGCTTAGCGGATGGATGAGTTTGGATTACATATCTGCCTCAGCTCAAATCTGGAGTGGTACACATAAACGGTCCTGATGGGGTTTAGTATGTGTGGCAAGCTCCTTGCTGTGTGTGTGTGTGTGTGTGTGTGTGTGTGTGTGTGTGTGTGTGTGTGTGTGTGTGTGTGTGTGCCTGCGTGCAGTTTTGTCATCGTAGACTACATTTCTGGTTATGTAAATATGTGCCTTCATGCAGATAGAGAGGGTTTCTCGCATACATAACCCTGTATAGTTCAGAGGCTTTAGGAGGGTGCAAAAACCTTGCTGCTAAGCAAAAGCAAAAACTGTGTCATGCTCAAGACAAGCGATTTATCTCCTCGCCCTCCCTCAGACAGAGTGTGTCAGTTCAGTGTGCAAGATAACCAGGAAGCAGCCGAGGCGAACTGGGTATGCTTACCATCCCTCCGCACCACCACAGGGGTTGGAGAGCTGAACACTGTGGCATTGGTCATCATGTTTCTCACCACACACGTGTAGTTCCCGACATCTGAGGCTTCGACTTTGGCTATGTACAAGTTGCCCGTCCTCTGAGAGATAAAGCGACGGGCATCCTGTCGCAGGAAGCTCCGCTGTCCATTGAAAACCCATGAATATTTGATCTCTGGAAGAAGAAAAAAATACATACAAATAAAATATACCTTTCAGTGACATTCCCAAAATGACCAGTACTTTAAGACCTGTAGTACTTATATGGGAAGAGATATTATTACAAATAAATTATGAGATATTTTATTTCTCTGCCAAAAATATAGTTATAAGATGACTTCAAAGGATAAGGTGGTGATATTTTATATTTTTCTTCTTGTCAACAAATCCCATGAAGAGACAAAACCATTGATGAATTGATTGTACAAAGTATGCCTATTTAAAGGCTCAGCAAAAACTTAGAGAGTCCTAAGCTTTTTTAGTTAAAGCAGCCATAAGGAACTTTCAGTTTATGTTGATTCTGGAGGCCCCTGTGGACAAAAGCAGTGCTGTTTCCACCACCTTGTTCCGTCAGAATTCAACAAAATCCAGCCCGGTGGCAGGCGTTACAGCAACTACATAGAAATAGCCAGTCTTTTTCTGATTTGTTTATGTAGGCCATATAGAGGCATAAATATTAAAGTGAGACTGAGTTAAAAACTGCTTATGTAAACAGAATATGTGGGCAGGGTTTTAATTATGAGAGGGGGCTGATCAGAGTGGGTGTGGCTTTGCCGAGCTATGGCACTGTAGAGAAACCTGTAGAACCTGTTGGCCTCTACCCGAACTTCAATCACCAACCCAGTGAACAGAGAGAAATTAAGAAATTAATAAACCCACTAAACTGTGCTATTTACTATGACTACGGCTGTGGCTCAGGAGGTAGAGCAGGTTGTCCACTACATTACGACATATATTCGGCCTATAGCAAGCGAGAGAACAATTAACACCGGAACAAAGGATCAGATCTTGGGTCTTTAAATACAACATATAAATCCTCAGCCACACTGTTGCCCTGGGTGACGTGTTCTTTTATTGCACTGAACATTGCCACTGTAGTCAATCAACCTGCTACTGTAGATACTAAATGAACCCACAAAATGTGTATTAGTCTACAACTGAAAATAGTCCCCAACAATTATTCTTTCTGAGTAACCTTTGAAGAAAATTATGCCCAGCTGTTTTTGATAATAATTTCTCTTTAAGAAAAAGTTTCAAGTATTATTTCTTACTCATTTGTAAAGACCTGTGTCTGTGACCTATGAACTGGCTTGAGAATGAGTGCCACAGACTGGGTATAGGGAAGTCAGAAAGGATTGAGAGATGGACTGAGGTCGAGTTCCGACAGACAGCAGCACTGTGTGACATAACGCAGCCCACTCATTCTTTTGAATTGAACCTCTGTGTTGCTCAGCGGGGTGTAGACACACGGGACTCCGACAAAACAATGCAGGGTCGTCCGGTAGTGAAGTCCATCAATCAAATATGTGCAAGCATACATTTGTCTTTGTAATTCTATTGTGTACCTTACGAGTGTTGTAAACTCTGCCCTGTAGTACTGTAAAATGCTGTGCTGTGTTTAAGCCTTTAAACTCATATTTCATTGTCTCACTGGTACCTGAAGAAAACATGGCTTTCGGTCTGAATCCCTTTAAGTGTGATTTAATAAGATGAGATGGAATAGAACAAAGATGGAATTTGCATTAGATAGTAACATGCAAGGCCGCATGTGTGTGTCTGGTTTATTGTTCTATAACTCTTATCAGTAACAAGGAGGATTCATGTCAAAACAAAGACTGTAAAGGAATAATAAGGATGTCAATGTACCAGTGTAAAACACATACACTGCCAGAGAGAGAGAGAGAGGGGGAGAGATGTCTGCAGGGACTGCAGAGTGAACTTGGCTATTAGTGCAGCCCTCCTGTATCAGACACATGACATTCTGCAGTCAGCCCTTTTGACTGGGCAGACGGTAGAAAGTCCCACTCGCTTCCTTGAGGGAAAACAGTGAATTAAAATCATTTACAGGGAAAGTCAGGGCGGAAACTGACAGACCTTTCATGATTAGGGACTATCAGAGACTGGGTCGGTTTGTGAGCTGCAGTCTCACAGCAACAGAGGACTCGCAGGCACATAATCTCATGTCCTCTGATGGAGTTTGACTCTCAGCATGGCTCCTTTTAGACCACTTACCTATTGATTGCTCAACGAAGCTTCAGATGATTCCTCTTTTAATAAGGTGCTCCTCGAGTGGTGCATCAACAAGCATTAAAGAAGCTTTGACATAATTTCAACCTTGTGGCAATAAAAAAAAAACACACCCTCTTGCCCCATTTGTCAATTTTAAAACACCTGAAGCTAGCGTTATCGTGTAGTGCAAATCCTGTCAAATGTGTTCATATGGTCTGTTTAAGAGGAAAAAATAAAGACATGGAGGATTTTAAGGAGGGAGGGAGGGAAGGCTGGAGGGCAAATTGCTAAAGTGTGGAAATCCCGCGTGGCCACAGGATTCAGCTGGCAACAGAGAGCAGAGAAAGGCTGGTACGCTGGCGTGAAATTGTGCTGGTGGGCACCGAATGGCTGCAGGAGTGCGGACCACTTTGAGGGTCTGCTAATCAGCAGCACACAGACACATGAGCCGACTCGCAGCTGTGCCACGGGATAAACGCTCCCCCGGCCACAGCAGCCACCAGCAGCCTTTATTACCCAAAGATAACCTGCCCACATCAAGAAAAAAAAAAAAGAGACAGTTGGGGAAGTGGAGCACTGGAGACTTTATAGATGACAGCATGGTCACAGATCATATGGGCGAGGAAAAGTGAGCTCAAGGTTAAGAAGTGCCGGGCTATGAACTATAGATGTGAAGGCATGGGTCTGGGCAGGTAGTGTGGTGGCTGGTCATAAAAAGTTCCCTCTGTCTGACAGATAAGGAGAAGTGAGAGGAGCAGTGTGTCAGAGTTCGGGAAGAAGAGCAGCAAAAAGAGAAGGAGGGATGGTATAAAAACAAAAGATTCACAGCAGTGTTACAGAGAGATAATAAGCAGCAGAGTGAGGAACAATAAAGATTGCTGAGGCAAGCAGGAGTGCAAGACCACAGCAGACAATGCAGAAGAGTCAGGACAGAGTGCCGTACCTCCGTAATGGGGGGGAGGGCCGCAGAGCAGAACCACGGCTTGACCCTCTCTCACCGACACAGTGTTCCTTGGCTTCCTGCTGAAGTTCTGCAGAACTGTTGGATATGAAATAAAAATAAAACGTCAACTTTTCAGGGTTTGGCAGCTGTAATAACTTTACCTAAAGGTGACATCCGAGGAAGGGCATTTCATTCTGCAGAATATTTCCCTGTCCGTTCACATTGCTTGCAAGCCAAACCCGAGACTCCCCTGTTAATATCACAGCACGCGCAGAAGATCGGGTACAAGAGGGTGCACCAAAGTGCTCCTCACCAAATCGAGCTTGAGAGATTACTTTCACCTTTAATTAAATGCTGCTGTGCAGTGCGAGAGAATAAACAGTGGGAAGACATATCAGTCCCAAAGTCTTAGAAATACCAACCAAGTCCCAGGAGGGAACAGGCAAATATCAGCAGTGGTCAAACCAGAACTGGACTGATTAAAGAATCCCTCATATCAAGACATAGTGCTCTTTCTTTCATGTATTCCACTACGCTACAAATTATAAAGATTAGTGTGAACAGGTAACACAGTCATTTCAGACACTGACATTCAATCTGAAGAAATTCCAGAAAAAACTGAAGATGACCATGGACAGCTTTGTGACGCTACTTTTTGGAATTGTATTGTGTTTGTTGTTAAACGTTAAACAGCACATGCAGGAAACATCTTGGAATTCACATTCAACATGCATGTGTATGTGTGGAATATGTAATGTATTTTTGTCATGTTTCAAAGACACAGTAAAGTCAGCTTAAAAGGACACTCAGGGCTCTTTATTCGTGAACCCTGCGGCGCGGCGCTCATCGCCCTGCTCAGTGCGTCAGGGCTGCCAAATGCACTTATGGTATTTTCATGGACAGGCTCCCCTGGCTCACCTGAGGCACACTTAGATACGGGGTGGGATCAGAACAAATACATTATCATACGTTAAGGGTGGGTGTGTTAGAGGTTGTGACAATCACGGCCAATCACATTCTCTACTTTAATCCCCCTTAAACACAGGGCTCTCCCCATCATGACACACTGACAGTTTGGGAATCCTGTAGAGCTTTTTTCCTCAGAGAAGGTTTCAACATGAATATATAGAAATATTCAGCAGCCAAGAGCATGATGTCTCCTTTTAGACTGAATTCACATTTCTGGACATTGGTTGAAGATCCAATGTTTATCATATTTTATTTGTTATCACAGTGATCCATACAATACCTATGCCACTGTAGTGCATTAAAGCTGCAGTAGGTAACTTTAACAAAAAAAACTTTTTGTTATATTTGCTAAAACTTTCACTATATCCTGAGAGTAGTACATTAGACAGATTATCAGTGAAAAAATCAGTTTCCTCTGACTCCTCCTAGAGCTCCTAATGGGGTTTGCAATAATCCCCCAGGCCTGAACAAAAACAACCAATCAGAGTTGAGAAGAATTATCCCAGGTCATCAAAGAATGACACTTTGGGAATGAGACTTTACAGTCAACTATCTTCTAGGCTCTTCTGTTTTCATTGAGGCTGTTTCAGGCCACTTACAGGGAGCATGTAAGCTAACCCTAACGTAGGGTAGTTGTATCTATATGTTGCCAGTTTCAGTTTTTAATATGCAATGTAAGGTTAAAATACTGTGTAAACAGTATTGTGTGTTTTTACCTTTAAAGATTTTACCTGTCTGTAAGATTTTTCCTGTTGGTAATTCTACATAAAATGAAATAAAAGACCTACAAGCATGGTTACAAAAGTAGTTTGACATTTCACTGACCAATTAAACCCAAGGGTTAATTTACCGACTGATAATAAAAATAATTATTAGTTGGAGCCCTATTCTAAATCATTTGCATAATATTACATAAAATCAAAGGACATTTCTGTAACAGTATGTACAATATCTAGAAGAATCTACATAAGACTCTACTCACATGCAAACTGGACTTTTGCCTCCCTGCTGACAACGGTCCCAAATGTGTTTGTGGCGATGCATTGATACACTCCTCCATGATTGATGACATGAGGATTATTGATCAACAGGTTCCCCTCCACAAGGTTGTAGTTTGGATCTGACTCTGTGTTTATTTCCCTCCCATCCACTTTCCACCTGTAGATACATTGCAAAGTAACCATCATCATCATCAAACACAACACCAGTTTCCTAGTCTGCCAATACTGGGAAGGAACCTATATTTTCATATTTCCATTGAATATTTGGAAAAAAATACAGAAAAACATCCCACACGGTCACACATGGTTAAAAAATGAATAACCCTCCTACTTCTAATGAATGTTTATGCTGAAATGCAAATGTGGCCAGTACAGTAACACAGGCAGGTATCAATTACAGCTCAGCAGAGCACTGTGTACCACACATTCACTGATGCTACACACTGTGGTCTCACCTTATATAGACAGTCAAAAGGGCATACGAAACACTTACCTATAATGCGGAGGTGGGTTTCCTTTTGCTTTGCAATTAATAAACACCTGTTTATCATCAGTGCTCAGTGGGAAAATACTGTCACTGGGCTCCTGGGTGAAGACAGGACCATGGCGTGTATTCTCTGTGTAGAAAAAACACATTAGCTGTACAATGGTGCTAAGGAAGTGACACTGAATTATTGCAAAAATAAATCACTCACCGCTCAGAAGACTGCATATAAACTCTACACCCATATAATTAAATGCCAACATGGCTCTTTGAGTGGATTCTGCATTGAATAAACCCTCTTGTGCACATGTCACCAGGCAGATAAAGCACTGCAGGGAGAGAGCAATTAACAAAAGATAACCCTGTGGCATACTGGCTAACTGGCATGTTCTATGCAGCCTTCAACACATCACTCATGAGGTTGTGTTTTATTTTCCTGCTCTCATTCAGTACAAGGATGCTTACATGCACAAGTAAGTTTACTAGTACAAATACCCAGCATAAGGTTATGTATCAATTGAAGCATACATGGTTTGGTAACCTAACTTCACCAATAACATAGTTTTCTTTTGAAATGTAAGTGCACTTACAGGAAATGGAAAATAAACTAGAATTACTGCACTACAGTTGTATGCCTTCACCTTGTCAAGTAGTATTTTATATTCATGTCTTTATGGAAGTTTAGTACTGTACTGATAAATATGTATGATTCCAGTGAATATACATTACAAATGTACTTGATTACTATGTAAAGATGGATTATTATATAGTATAGCTTCACAAAATGTGGTGTTTTTCTTTTCTCCTGACAGGTGAAACTCACTACTGCATGCTGCAATACAATTCCGAGGGTTAAGGAAATTCAGAATGCGGTAAATATGGACAGAATCTGCCCTTCTGTTCTTGAGTTATAGGGTTGAATAATGGACAGGAGTGTCACAGTGAAATTGATCTTTGACCTTTTGGGTAAAACATTCCGTCATTTCATCGTTGTAACCCATTAAACATCTGTGTGACATTTTGTCATAATTACTGCATCAATTAGAGTGATGACCAAAAATGTATTTGTTAAGGTCAATTTGAGGTCACAGCAAGATTTGACCTTTGATTCAAAAGTGTCTTCGATTCACTGTCTGACCAGTTGTGGAACTGAAACAATCTATTTTTGATGTATGGCCAAACACGTTTTTTCTTTTGACCTTTGACCACCAAATTTTAATATAAACATAATGCCTCTGTGCCGGCAATATTACTGCACTGATAACCCCACTCCCCCACACCACATTGTTCATTTACAATAATAACAGCAACACATTTAACATTCAAAATACAGGTTCCTAATGTCCGACAGCGGTAGACAAAGCTTTGCATTTCTAGCTGACTTCTGCCAATTTTGCAGACTAAGATGATAACTGTCACTAATCGGTTTTATCAGCTGTAGCTAGCTAGCCAATTAGGCAAATTTTTTCTGTATCAACACCTGTAATTAATGTAGTTAGTAAAAGATATGCTCCTCTCTTTGGCCATGGAAGTAACGCTGGTTTAGGTCACTACTGTAGTAAGTAAGCTACTTAGCCAGACGTGCTAACGACTGCAGCTGAAGTTAGAGCAGATAAACACACGTTTTAACCTATTCCTTCCACTTGTGCGGCCTTTATAGTATAGAGTATCGCCCCTTGTACAACACTTCAGCACACTGGGAAATCCAAAACTCGACTGGCCTGCTGCACCTATTTATGGTTGCTAAGCCTTGATTGGACAATTGCTGTTTGGGGGAGCTGAGCACGAGCTCTATTACTGGTGGTGATTCACTAAAAGCTAGATCTGCCACTCTTTATTTAAACTCACACTTAGCATCCCCTTCACTCTCTGAACTGCCATGCACATGCATCCAATCAAAACACAGATAGAAACTGGTCTAAGCTATATTACATGTCAGAAGTAATTAGAAAGATTGACAAGTAACCCGGGTGGCTACTTGAATTATGCTTTACTTCATTATGATCTTAATGCAAGCAGGATAACTTGGTTAAGGTGTGTATGGGAGAGTTGCAATACCAGAGTGTTGCCTTACTCTGGTTACAATCTAATTATTAGACAGTCTGCAAAGCACTTGTCTATCCGAATGTTGTTTGGGCATGTGTGCCTGCTCAGTCGAGCTTGTTGTTTTGGTTAGCTCCAGCCAAACGATCAATACACAGGAGTAATTAACCGGTGTTGCACTAATTACTCCCGTGAAATCTAACATTTCTTCAATAGATACTGGAACACTGGTGTCCACCCTCCCTTTCCTCTGAGACCGCGTGTCATACGCCGAACCGCACGCCGCTCATTTTTCTTTTTGTGCACTCGAGAGGATGAGATGCTTTTTTACACGTGCCTAACCTTGACTAGGACAAAGAGTGCTCCCTCCCGCATCATCATCATCATCATCATCATCCTAATGAGAGTGGGAGTCTTTGCCTCAGGTAAGGGCCTTGTTTCCCCAGCCTCCAAGGGAGGTGCTTCATTTTTACCCTGGTTGCGATGTCCTTTAAATTAAACAAATTAATGAACCTTTAATAGGCGGGCTATTTCACCTGGGAAATTATCCGGTGGTTTGTGTGTATGCCTGAGAACAGGCTTGCCCTGTAAACACACAACTGGACTGACCACTTGCACACATGAACACGCACGCACACAAATTATACCTAATTAGCTTTCATGTGAATGCATATAAATGTGAGCTCAACAGCAGGTATATGCATGTACAGAAGAGCGGGCGCTGCCATTTGTGTAAACCCCCACGCTCTTCTCTTGTGTTTGCAGGCTGCACAGATATACTCCAGTGAAACTGCTGACTTTGAGATGAGATGCTAAATCAATGGAAATGGAAGCTCACATAACACTACAATAGACCCCACTGCATATGCTGTATAAATTTAAATGTATTTGTTTGATGACTTGTAAACGGTTGGCTTAAGTTCAGTATACAGTATATCTGTCAAATGTGACAGTCGAGATTAAATCTCACTCGGCTGTCTAAGCTGCACAGGTTACCGTATCCAGACATAAAGTGAGAGCTCTTAAAGAGATTTTAACTCCTCAGCTGCAGCTCATACGGGTATTAGGGAACTGAAGGTTAATGTTACTCTGCTTTTCTCTCAGCGAAAGAGGAGCACCTCGACGCACCATGGGGATCTATGTTGCTGAGAGCGAGGACAGAATAAATTAGCGTTAAGAAAAGAGTTAGTGTGGATTTTTATAGTGCTTGCCACATTTCACGTAAGTGGTAGCAGTTGGACATAAAGCAAGAAAATTGCATAATAAAACAGGAAGGCATAAAAAGACCAGAGAGTGAATTCTCTCCTTTACGTCAGTCTCTTTTCAAATGTAAATCTTGCAGTGAGTGAGGTTTATCAGAGGTGATCTGAAAAGAAGATTTAAACTTTGGTTGCAGCTAACAAATGACAATCTTTAGAATGAGACAAGGCAGTTTCACTTCATCCTGTGACAACTTCATCCGTTAAATAACAGAAATTACACCACTAAATTCAAATGTCTGGCACTGTTTCCCTGAAATGCTTTTCTAAGCCCTTTTTATTATAAATACTAAATTGAAATCTACAGATTTTACCCCATTTTTCAAAGATACAACCCAGATACTAAAGCTACTATCATTCCTTTTCAAACAAAATGATAACCTAACCATGCATGAGGAAAAAGCGAATCCTTCCTGTGTATGTATGCATATCAGGTGTGTCATGAAAGGCGACTTGACTTGGTGTCTCACCAGCCAGGCACTCTTTGAGTGACAGAAGGATTAACAGTTCCCATGGCAACAACATCTTCATTTTCCAAGGTCAAAGATTCTCCTTCTTCCCATCCAGTTGCCAGAGAGTGAAGAATATTTCTTGGGCAAACACTCCTCCGTTTGGCTCTGGAAGAAAAAGAGGGCAAATGAGCACCGTGGAGATGAGGAGATGCAGTCTACATCAAGCTTTCTGGAAGAAATAAAAAACAGGCTGGAACTTGAGGAAAATCGGTGATCCATTAATAATTCATTCAACCAAATAAGCAGAGCCAAGATCCCATGCCTAAGGGCCAGCTAGCAGCTGATACCAGGGAGCTGATATTTAGTGTATACATACTGCTGCTTCACTCCCAGGAGCAATTCAAGCAAAAAATAAAGAAATAAAAAAAACAGATGCTCACAGCAGCAGCAGCAACAGATGAGCCGAGCCTGCCAAAGGTAATGCTACGCTTTCGAAAACTGTTTCAACATATTTACTCCAACAAGTTATGTGATGTATTAAGTATACAGTGTATATCACAGGGAATGCTAATGAATGCAGACAGACGGATGGAAAAATAATTCTTCTGTGGGCAAATCATTCCACTTCAAAACAGGCAGACAGGCAGCAACATCTTCTATGGATCATGATGCCAAGAACTGTTGCCATTAATTGAGAACTAAATCAACAAAGCTTTGATCATTTGGCCAACCTTGTCAAAAAACATTACATATTACATATTATGCTGTATTGGTGAAGCCTGTATCCCAACACATCTGTGTGTTTGGATATTACTTGTGAGGCCATTGTTGAAAGCTGCTATATATCTATCAATATCTCTCATTGTGATGAACCCACAGAGGGTTATCACCTGACTCTGCAGACTTCAAATGAATGCTAATGTTCCCTCGAGTGATGTGTAGTTTGTGAACGAGCTGGCTCTATGCGCCGGCTACTTTAAGTGAATGACGGGAGCTGGCTCACGGCCATGAGCCGTTTTCTTTTTTATTGCTATTTTTGAATAAATGAATAGACAAAATAATAGGATGATCCTATAACGTATTCTTAAGATATGACCCAGAAATATCTCACTTTGGTAATAACATTAAAGCCAAGTATAGTGAGACTTTTGTCTTGCGCTGGTTGCCAACAAAACATACATCAATAAACATACTAAAATAAAACGTTGAATACATTGTGTAATATTGCTTGATATTTTTACATTTATTACAATATTAAGGTTTCGTATAATTAAATTGAAACATTTAAATGGTGTGTGCACAAACACCAGTCATAGGTCAAAACATTGCTAAACTGAATTATAAAAACCAGAAGTGGTACTAAATGAAGAGCCGCTTGGGAGCAGAAAGAGCTGGTTCCTATTGCAAAGCTCAGCCAAATGATCTGGCCCACTGCAAAGTGCCGGAATTCCCTTCACTAGTTGCGTCATGTCAGCTGGTTGTGTTAAAAAGCAACAATTTGGTAACAAGTTAGTCATATCAGCTTAGAAGTTATATATAAGCCTGTATTTTGTTTACAGCTTGTTTTGCTCCCAAGTGGCCAAAAAGGGTTGGTTAATACCATATGTAACAACACAGCCTTACATCATGCTTTTAGCTCATATTGCAACCATACATGTATTCATCCCAAACCAGTTAGTACAGGATGTTCTGCTACATGACTTTCTTTGGTTTGGTACACCCTGTGAACTAAATTATTACTGTTGCATTAACCCAAGACACTCCTCTCAGACAAAATTTGCAACAACTGACCCCCACCGCTCAATAACCCCCCACCACACAATGCCACAACTTTAGATACAGGACAGTTTTAGTGTTTCAGGAATATAAGAACCATGTTGATGGGATATCCATTTCCTGAGTAATGTAAATATATATTAATAGAGCAACATGGAAAAAGTTTATATTAATGGATTTTGTACCTTCTATTATTATTTCTTGCCTTAATTCTATGGGGGATAACCATGCTCAATGTTTTGTGACTACAGTTCCCTTGATGCCTTAGGGGGTGTAAACAGTAACTATAACAGAGAGCTTCCATTGGATTCTGGATTACTGCAGAAAATAAGCTCTGTTCCAAACAAATGTTAAAGATAATCTTCACAAATTCAAAGACACCACTTTTATGATTTGTGAAGCATAAATGCGATCACAAAAAGTAAAAAGCTAGCATCATGACTTCAGCGTTAACTCCACCTTCCAACTTGTAATTAATTATTGTAATTAAAATGTACAAGTGGGAAAGTTTGGGTTAGAATAGTTTGCGAAAGCACAAGTATAAACACAATAAGGCTATTAAGGTGGACTAGTGAGTATATAAGACTCAGTGTTCAGCATACTGACATTTTCACCAAAAACCCTTTGTAGTTGTTTATCCACTAGGGGTCGCCAAATCTTCATGGGGGGTCATGAGGCCTTCTTGATTTTAAGGGGTGTAAGAAAAGTTAAAAAATGTACACAGAAGGCCTATATCTCTGCATTTAATAACATTTTGTTTAGAAAACTGAATTAAATTGTTATTTTTAAACGCTGAAGGCCTGCTGTTTAAATAGTATTCAGTTTAAACAACCAGATAGCTAACAAAATTAGGGGAAAATACTGAGTTTGTCAAAAAAGACTATTAAGATTGTATGATTGTTTAAAAAGTCATAATACAGACAGAGAACTGTTTAATAGTTCCTAAAAATATCAGGAAAACTAATTTCTGATGTAATATTCACAGAAAATAGTCTGTAAAGTCTGTACAACTCTAAAAAGGGGTTGTCAGTTTACACAATTATAGAAAAGGGTTCCTTTAAGGAAAAAGGTTGGGAACAAAACACAATGTAGAACAAAATGTAAAAATCTCTTAAGCTCGTGTTAACCACAGACCTCAGGCATCTAACCAAAAACCCATTCAAATACCCCAGTGACTTTGAGGCGGGGGAACCAGAAGTGCAAAGATGCTAACTCATCTCCAGGTTTTTGAATAAATTCCTGCAGCACTCTATGTTGCTCTTGACTCTCTCTCTTCAACTGGAGTTATAGGGAACAACTCTTTCTATGGTTCTAAGCTGATTCTTAGATGTTTATTCATGGACATCACTGAATCTAAAAATCATCTGACGCCACCTCATTGTGTTCAGTTCTGAGGTACGACTCGGAGAGTGCAAATTTTTATGAGCTCTCATAAAAAACACATTACAAACATAACATTTTTCATACATCTCGTCATCATTTCTTACATCTTTTCTTTGCCCTTTTCTGCCTCAGTTCCTGTAGTAAATCGTTAGATGCAACAAAATGGAAAGAATCACTAATCACAGGAGAAAAAAGGCACTGGTTGTGTAGGCAGTGATGTAGATTTATTCTGCATTGCTCTCCATGATTTATTCTAATAGGGCACAATACTGATCATCCGAGCTTCATCTTGTCAGTCATCGTTATTGATTTGGTTTCCACTTTTTTTAACCTCCTGCCTTTTTGTTTGTCATCCTGCCCACAGTCCTGTCATGAGTCTCAATCAAATATGGAGGGATGGATCAATAACGAGAGATTTAGTTGATGTCTTTCCTTATGAGACTCTCTGGGTTGATATATTTGCCTCTTCTGGCCTATCTGCAATCAAAACCAGTGAAGGAACTTTATCCGGCTAACGATAGATGACACATTCTTTTGACCAACTTGACTCTGAGCTTTGAAATGTTCTCTTCTTTCAATGAACGGCTCAGTCTCGTGCTGTTCTCAGTCTACGTTGGAGTCAAAATTATATGTTGATTAAGGTGCTGCATGAATAGGGGCTAAATGAATGACACAGAGATGCATATGGCAATTACTGTACAGTTAGATGCAAGCCTTTTATTTTGAGATCTGAGAAACTTTAAATCGATGTGAAATGTTTTCCAGACATTTTGTCAAAACGCCTATCTGCAATCAATACTGTTATAGGCCAGCGTCTGTAAGTAATTCCAAATCAATATCATTTAAAATTCAGATGCACTTGCAAGCACAGTGTGAGCCGCGGAACTCAGAACAAGTCAAATTAGACTCAGATGAAAATAAAACCTGCATCTTGAGAGTGGTCTCATGATTCTGACTGACAGTTACAACCAGCTAGCTTATAAACTGAGACATATGAAAAAATATGAGGGTCTTCATATTGATCAAACTGATTCAATCATTAGGTCCTTGCCATTTTGAGCCTGAATTTGAGTTGAAATAATTTGGATGGTTGTAATGAGTAGCATTTGCTGCTCACCGAGGTTGATCTAATTGCACTATTTGACATATAACTTATAGGTAATACTGTAATATCTACATTAATACCCCCCTAATGCGAGGATGCTCAATGAGGAATCACGGCCATTGGTATTTAGTGGATTGTGAGGATATGGGAACCATTACGTTCCATCATGGAGGTTGTCTAACAAGCCCCTGCAGCTTTGAGTCATTAGCGTACGTGCTCTGCCCGGTGATCGATGTTAATTTATGTTCGCTGTAGTCAGCTGTCCACATTCACTTTCAAGCTGATCAACTTTATTTCGTCTACTCGCAAAATCTCCCTTGTTCATTTAGCATTCAAAGTCAGACTCAAGGACCCTGATTGCATTTAGCCATAGACAGTAGCCATTATGCACAGCGTGGAAATGCAGAGGCCACAATCCCGTAAGATATATAAGTGAGGGAGCTGGCACTGTTCCTCTGTCAGATAGCACAACTCTGTTTTAATGATGCATAGGTCCTTGGCATCCTTGGGGAGGATGTGTTTCTTGGTCACAGTCCAGAAATTTAAAGTAGTTGCTTGTGATCCCCATGATTAATTTATATACCCTAGAAAAAATACAATGGTAATAATTCTTGTGCCCGGCGGATGGTGGTCGCAGGTGTTGGAAATACCAAATGGGATGAGGCCAGGCTAATGGTGCCTGGAAGGGAAACTATCTGTCAGGGATAATCCCTAATACTGTAACACCCCGGCATAGATAATGTGCTTTCCCCCGCCTCTCTCACTAGGCCGTGATATTGAGATAGCTGTGGAGGAATGATTAAACGAGGAATGGATATTGACACGGATAAATGTATGTATCCGGAGTGAAGCATTGCAAGATTTAATGTTTAGTGATGATTAGCTTCCCACTCTGGAATTGGCTAAACTAGGCTAAGAAAAAAGGGAGGTGGAGGGTGTCCTGTGAACTCTGGTGAGCCATGTTCCACTTCATTACACTCTGAGTAATTGGTTAAACACGTGACTACAGAAATTAACTTCCGCAGCCTTGTGAGAGGTAATTAAGCCCCCCTTTTTTGGCATACCATGACAAATACGACATTCAGCAATTTACAGGGCCCCATGAAGACATCAACCTGACACCACTTTATCATGGCTCACAGGCCCAACAGCTTGAAAACATATAGCCTCGCTCATTGTAGTAACTGTTCAATAAACTAATACTCATATTAAAACATGTCTTATCTGTATAGGCTTCAGCTTACAGCTTTGTTTCATCACAGAAGGTGCTAGGCTGTAAATGGCCAAAAAAAAGACTCTCAGGTTACAGTCCATCTTAAATCCAGTCAGCCACAAGGGAGCATGAGCAGTGCTGCAGCTCAGGTGGCAAACTGTCACTCATTGTGCAAGTGCATATTACACATTGGCTAAGAGAAGGAGGAGAATATTGAAAGCTAACATCCTGTCAGTTCAATACAGACTCTGCAAACAGAGCCGTACATGATATTTTGGTATGGAAAGCCTTAGATGTGAGATGAATACTAGTGTATGCTCAGTAAGACAGAAAGAACCTGAACTGTCTTTTGTCAGCTTTTGCTTTTATTGGGAAAGAGTTAGGTCTGGAGCCAAGTTATGACCAGCTTCTGAGTTATATCCTTATACTTTATGTGTAACCATAAATTGTCCATTTATTTGTATTTTTTTCAGAACGAGACAGATAGACCTTGACAGTCTCTCCATGTCTTTGTATATTTCAACTCTATACTGTTCACACTGAGGGGGCCGTGTAGGGTTTATTACGGAGTTCAAGGGTGTGGTGTACCAGGGAAAGCCACAGATTTTTTGGGGTCTATGCGACTGAGTAACTTTTTTTCTGAAAGAAGGAAAATAACTTCTGTTGTAATGGATAGTATATGGGACCAGAATCAATTGATCCATATTGTAATAAAGTCATTGTTCACATAATTTACTAACTGAAAAAGGGTATTTAAGTATTATGTTACAGTGAATACATTTAAGGAACTCTCCTATTATAAGATTTTTAGAATTAAAAATCATTGTATCACTTTACCAGACAGACGACAGATGACAGGAAATGAGGCAGGCGGGGATGCAACAAAGGTTTGTTTGACATGAAGTGGGGCTGTTCCTGTTCAAAGTAGCTTCTTAACTCCCAATCCACAGGAGCAACACCATTATCTGATTTTTTTTCTTTTTTTAAACTCACACTTTAATGTGAGTATTGGCCTCAAAAGTTCTGTATATTCTTTGTGTACATCACGGTGTTATAGCAAACAACATTAGGTACACTGTAAAACCAGATAAGTTAATTATAACTCAAAAAAATATTGAAAGTAATTTAATTTTGTAAGTAAAAAAGAAAACATTCTTGCTCAAGTAGCTTAGTAATTTTAAGTGACAATGATTTTATTTGGTTTTCTTTTTACTTGTATTATGAAAACCCAATATAAAACAAAAAATACTAACTTATAAAACAAAGTTGGGGTCACTACTGCAATTTCTAGTAAAAGCTGCTTAATCAAGAATATTTTTTAACTTACAAAATTAAGTTTGTGTTATTTAAAATAGTTATCACATTACAGTGTACTCTAAATGTGGATAGCCTGGATAGGACTGACACTGACTTTTACCCTTTCCTTTTTGATGATGACACAAAAGATCAGAAAGACATTTTATTTGTATTTTCATTTTTGGCAACTTAAAAATATCATATAAGTCAGGGATGTGTGAGGTGTATATGAGGGAAGGATACAACAGGACACACCAGGGTTGAGGCTGCTCCTTTAACACACAGAATTATTATGGACATAAACAAATAATGTAAATCTGATGAGAATGCAGCTTGTGGTTTGCTTGCAAATATTTAAATATGCAGAAATAATCCCAAGGTAAACATGGTTGTAGTATAGGGTTAGGGTTAGTGTAGGATTATAAAAAATAAAGAAATAATTGTGAAATAAATAATCACATGAATAAACAGTGTAAAACATAAAAGAAATGATAATTTGTGAAATCTTTCTAATTCCCTTTTTGTATGTTTGTTTTTGGCCATTTTAACTTTTACTGGACAGTCAGTTGGAAAAAAGACAGGAAACAGGGAAGAGAGTCGGGGGATGTCATGCAACAAAGGCCCCCTGCTGGAATCGAACCTGCAACGTTGTGGTAACATACATTATTAAGAAATGTTATTTTTCCTTATTTTTATTTTTATTCTAAAATTCCCCTTTTCAAACATGTCACTTTTCATTGCAGTGGTGTGCGTTGTCTGATGAGATATTTTAGATCAATAACGTTCCCTGTAATATTCAGTATATATACAGTATAATAATCAGAAATTCAACATAGCACATTGTATGTGATCACTGACATCAATGACCAACAATCAATTGCGGATTAATAGAATCAATTGCGGATCAATAGAACAGAACACACAGTATATATCTGCCCACACACATTACGAGGAAGAGGAGATTATTGTATGCTACCACAGCTCCTCTACCTGGAAAAACAGCTACGCTCACAGTCATTTATAGCATGTAATAAATCATGAAGCCCAACAGACAAGCATGTTTTCCACTGATTGAGTACTCACAGAGTAAGTGGAGTCTGCTTGCTCTTTCCTCCTCAACCAAGAGACACAATCAGCCCTTTGCCCAGCTAAAGAAGAGAGAGAGAAACGGAAAGAGAGAATCAGAGAGAGGGAGGGGATAGAGAGGAAGAACTGAGAGCCCGAACAACAATCTAAAGACATAAGAACTGAAATGGTCAGAGTTAAGTTATTCAGTGGCAGGAAGGCTACAACAGGACAGGCCAGTTTAGGCAGCTCCTTCAACACATAGAACTATGGCACTGAACAAATATTGCTCTCACTGATGAATATGCAGATTGGGATTTGGTTGCAAATATTTAAATCTGCAAAAATAATCTTGAGGTAAACAAAGCTGTGGTGTAGGGTTAGGGTTAGTTTAGGATGATGATTCTGCAGGCAACAGCGCTGTTAAACCAACAACTCATCCTCAACCAAATGCAGAATATTCATATGGGCTCATTCAATCAGCATTAAGAGATCAAACACTTCTCCTCTGTTTGAACACACCACTGTGACAGAAAACCTCCAATATGTCACATTTACAGTATCTTGATCTATCCTAATATTTCTGAATAATGCCTATACTGTAATCCTGCAATATTTATATATGCTACTTATAGCTTTTTAATACAGCATTCAGTGGATACAGTCCTACAATATATAGGATTATAATTATTTCAGTAATTCATGCATTAGCTCCAAGGACAGATGCGTGACTCAGAAATATAATAGGCAGAATAACAAGTAACAGTGCAGAAATGGTGTGTCTCCTTGCATTACTGCTCACGTAAACATATAAATATGTTTTTTGTCTGGTGACTGTTGGAACTCATTAGTGAACTGAAGCCTTATTGATCTGATATGTTAAATTGGGGTGAGTTGTATAATAACAGCCACAAGCCATATTCACATATGCACTGCTACCCTAAGCTTTTCCCTATCAGTTTGACTGGACATTATACGGACTTTACCCTGCTAGCTGTCTAGCTCCGTCTAATGCCCAGCAGACTGTCTGGAGAATTAACCAGCCAGTGAGCATGTTGATGACGTTGCACAGAGTGTAGCTGCTTCGTACTGTGTTCTGCTTAACTGTGGGCCTCATGCAAGCATTATAGGAAAACACATTTTTGTTCGTATCCACAATTTGTTCTCATTATGTTAGTACTTGTTGAATTCTGGTATTCACCCACGTTTTCTTATTTTTGCTCTTAAAATTTTATGCATTGTCAAGAGCACCAAGATAAGAAAAAAATCATCTTGTTTTTTACAGTCCACAAATTGTTTGTCTTAAGCAAGGAAACATACATTTTCAATTTGAGGAAGGACTTCTTGCTTCTTAGTTAAGAGCCATGCCTTTTTTCTGGGTTTCATTGTGCCAGCAGCTGTGACCCATTTCGGGGTCTGCCTCCTTCGAAGAATGAGGACTACAAAGGTGTAGCCTTCATAGGACTGACAGCTACTGTGCTGAGCACCTCCTCCCCAGATGAGGCAGTCCTTACAGAGGATTAACCGTACTATTATATAGGACATGTAGGGCCAAACATTCATCCCACTTTTCTGAATATGAAAGTGTACTTCCACAAGAGATTTCATTTATTAGGAGGAAAAAAGTTAGATATCACAAACACATACCTCCAGACACACACCAAAACTAATCATAATGACCTGAATGTCTGCACTGGCACCATAGAGGCCATTTACTCAGTGTAATTTGGTTTCCAGCAAGACAGACTCCAGCAGAGCTATCACAAAAAGACTGATTGATTCTGCAGGGGATAGAGCTCTGCTTGCACTGGCCATAATAAAAAACACTCTATATTCACAAGATTGCACTGTAAACATAAGGGGTAAAAGATGTCTTTTCCTTGAGAGAAAGCAAATGACAAACATTTTTACACTGAGGAGATTTTTTTGGGGAGAAATAGGTAACAGGTCTTAGGTATTATGCAAGAGCTGTGCTTGAGGAAAACACACAGAACCTTGCTTTAAACAGCTTCCTCTGAGAACCTGTCCAAGAGAGTGAAACTCAGTGAAAGTGAAAAGTATTGAAATTCAAAACTAAGCTCATCCAAAACAGAAAAATTCTTGCACATGTTCTGAAATGTTCTGCACAGGCAAATTTTAAAAGGTTGATGCTTGCATTCTCCAATTGAATCATTCCGACAAACCAGTAACCCGCCTGCCCCAGGTGGTTTGTTAGACAGAACCATCTGGGAAGTCATTAGTTCGGAAGAAGGCAGGAATTTTCAAAAAAATACTCAGGTGCAGGTGATTGGATGAACCATCCATCCATCACCATCTATCATGAGCGAATTTTAACCAATGAGATCAACAAACCACATAGTCAAACTTTTATCAAAGCCAGTCGGGGAAAGAGCAAAAACCGTTGAGAAAAGCCTTCAGTGCTGCTCTTTGCTCTTCTTTTTCTGAAGAGTTCTGATATAAATGACGCTAGCAGCATCTTTGCTATCTTCTTTTGCAGCTGCCATTGTCGTTTAACAAACTGTGTCTTCTCGCTGCATCACTCTCCTAGCTGCCACTACTTCCTCAAAAGACACTGACTGGTCCAGTACTGTACACTGTACCGGCCACAAACACATAGATTGAAGCCTGGCAAGACCGATTCTCACGTTGATCATTATAAGTCCTTGAAATTAACTTTTTTCATATGAGAAACAGGTGGAAAAAGTGTTTTTGCTAACATAGTATCCAAAACAAGTTTATGGTGATGAGGCTATTCTAAAAATATTCCTCTCTGTGTGCATTTTTCACTGAAACTTACAATGGTTCCTATAAAAATGGCTGACAAAGGTTTAATTAGCCAGAGTAACAGAACATTGGTCCTGGAAATATATGTATGTTTTTTTCAAATGTATTTTTTTTTTGTGCTGTGAGGAGCAAATATTCCAGTCACCTCTGTGGAACTGTTGGGGTAGTAGTTTTAGATTTGGACATGTCAAACCCACAGTACATAAAACCAAAACTATCTCAACTTATTTAAAATAAAAATAATTACTATTGTTTGCCATTTTTTTCATGTTCAAGAAGATTGTTTACTTCCTTAATACAAGTCAGTATGGGGAGATTTTCAGGGTGTTGAGAAATGTTGCCATAAATCTGTAGGTATGACATAAATTTTGCTTGGTATATGCACTGGAGTGCCTGAATCTAACCTTTTCTAAGCAGAATTGGATAAAAGGTGCTGCCTAAAACATGCTCCAGAACCTTCCTATTAATACAATGAAACAAGGCCACCACCTTCTACAGATCATTCTCAACCCCACAGACTGTAGGCCAACTGAGACAGCTAAGGTTCACTCATTAATTTCTGTGATAGGCAGGAGAGGCTAGTTACAAAAAATCTTTCATCGCTTTTTATCTCTGCAGTTACAATTTTCTCAACTTTCTCTCTGCCTGTCTCCCATTGTGTCTTCACAGAACAGTTATGCTGAATTGAAAATAAAAAAATAAATGATTCCCAAACTGAGACATTGAGTATATTTGCACACACTAGGGTTCTGCATATCCTGGTTTTGATCATATTTGACATATGATGTTTCCATGCATGAAGTAACCTCATTATTCCCTGTTTCTATAATTATTTACGTTTCTTAGGCACCGTTGTGCCCTATTCATGTCCTACATCTGAATAAAAGCCAGATGAGGTCTAATACCCTTTTGTTTAGACTTACACACATACAGTAGATGCTTTTTGTACCAGATCAAAAATCTTAAAGCAAAAGGTGGTGGTAGTGTAACTGAAGTGGTTCAGTAATGGCAAAAAAAGGCCAGAAGAAGAATAAGTTTAACTTTAGTAGTTTCATTACAATAGTAACAGTTTTACTAGGTAGCTAACATATACCAAGCAAGTGTTTAAGTGAATTCAATTCTGCTAACTTCCCCCTACAGGCAAATCAAAGAGACTGAATCAGCTCAGAAGAACATTCATGACTGTTTTTAAAAGTTTTTGTGCCTTACCTGTTCTGTGTGTGTGTGTGTGTGTGTGTGTGTGTGTGTGTGTGTGTGTGTGTGTCTGTAGGGGGACTGTCAGTGCGTGGGATCAAGGTAAGCATTGCCATCCAATAGAGGTTCCACAGCCTGAAGTCTGAACCACTGCACCAAAATAGAAATATTAAGTAGAGGGTGAACAGAAACTAGCAGAAACTCCTCTGAATGATGCCTCTCGATCAGCATTCATTATAAACAGAGGGCAGCGGTGGCTGGGGGAGGTGGGCCACTCTCTTCTGATTAGTAGTCCCAAACGGTCGACTTAATATCAGCATTGGCCTTTCAAGGTTCAGGGTGATTTTAAACAGTAGATGGTGCATGGAGCCATTTTCAACCCATGAAATGCCAATTTTCATAAGTTTGGTAAGAATGTCCATATTATTATCACAGTACAGTCCTATAATTTAGTTTACAACTGAAAAAAAGATGTTTAAGTGTGGAATACCTCTATAACTAACAAACACTTGAATGAGTTCCATTCAGGGACCTGCCTTGCCTTTTGGGGCTTTATGGCCAATATAGGGACTACAGAAAAATTAAATGGCTAGACTTTAACCACAACTGACAAAACTTTCATGACGACTGTATCAAAATCACTTCAGGATAACCTACCTAGAACATAAACAATGTCATGAAAATGATGGTAAAGGTTTGAATCACAAAATCTTCAGCTTAGCGTTTGTAAAGCACTAATGTCACTTAGGAGTCCATAAGAGACTATAATTCATAAAAGTATTCAGTACAAACCATACTAACTGAAACACGACTGAAAACATTTCGCTGCAAAATGGATCAAAACAAATTGAACTGTATCTCAGTTTAACCTAAATTTTAGAAACGTGCTGCTAGTGTTGCATTTCTGCATACATTTACTTTGACACAACAGTTTTTCATGGAAAGCCAGAATGCAATTAAATAATCAAGGAAGTCTCCCAATCACAACAACAAACACAATCATCATCTCACTGTCCTTGAACACAACATTATGGAGATTCAACCTATAGTGGAGTCAGAAAAAAGACTTTGCATTCGCTGTAGTAAACACTGTGTGTCTGACTGC